TGTATTACACAAAAGGCCGGGAAGTAGGCGTTCACGGTACGAGCATGAAAGTTCCCATGGGATGCTTGCTCTGCACAGGATTTTATGTGAGTACCATTTACTGTACACACCTTCCCGGGTGTGCCACACGTATTATACTTTTTACCACACTACCAGCAACACGTTTGCACATGAAATCTTTGCTAATTCAAAAATGTAGACTAACATAAATAACCTTGCTAATATTTCTCTTTTGCCACTTAAAAAACAAGTAATACTCTAAATCAAATCATGCCTCTTTTTTACTCTTTACCGAATTTTCCATATAGGCAATAAGCTATTACCGTAGGTCTCATGGTAAGACTTGGACCGATTTACTTTTTCATTTTGATGTCCCTAGAAACCAAATACACCATCCGTCGATTTCGATGAAATTTGGTACAAACGTGTAAACCTACGTTTATACAAACAAGTTTGCGAACCAGCATGATCGGACCATAGGAATAGGGTTTTATACGGGGATTTATGGGATGAAAATTGGTTTTTCTAATTTTTGACCCTAAATACCCCCGCCGCAGCAAACCTGCCGACTAAGCGAATTTCCATTTGTCTGAATTGATTTTCAGTTAAATATATTTTAATAACATTAGGTTTAACGAGTACCTAGGTTTGCTGCTACAAGGAAACTAATAAAGTGTGTTTTTGAGTAAAATATTGATAGCTTAGTACAAAGTAAATAAATTTGCCAAGTTTGATCAAAATATATCCATAAACAAGCAAACTACAACATTTGACAATATTCTCCATAAGAATAACATAGGAATTTTAAATTTACAATTTTTTTAATTTTCTCCGTAACTAATAATTGAACAAAAATACTTTTATATACTAAATTATTTGTTTTTTTAAGCTCTTTAAAAAGGTCTAAAGAGAAATCGGGAAATTTTGTGTTTTGAGGGTCAAAAGTGAGAAAAACCAAATTTTACCCCATAAAACCCCCCGTAAAGCCCCGTTCCCATGGTCCGATCGTGCTGGTTTGCGAACTCATTCAAGTTTATCCCGCTTTACACCCTTAAACCAAATTTCATCAAAATCGGACAAAAATTACTCAAGTTATCGCGTTCACGGACGTATATATATATATATAAGTCTATATATATATATATATATATATATATACATATATAAAAATTTGAACGAATGGTGTTTTTGGCCTCTGGGGACATCAAAATTAAAAAGTAAATCGGTCCCAGGTCTAGGTCTTACCGTGCCACCTACGGTAATAGCTACTTCCCTATAGGGAAATTCGCTAAAACATAAAATTTCCCAAATTTTCTCTTGACCATTTTGAAGAGATTAAAAAAACAAATAATTTAGTACATTGAAGTGTTTTTGTATGGTTATTGGTTATGGAGAAATTTTTTAATAAAAAATTCCTATGTTATTCTTATGGAGAATAAGTAAACTGTTGTAGTTTGCTTGTTTATGAATATTTGGATCAAAGTTGGCAAATCTATTTATTTTATAACTAAGCTATTATTATTTTATTAAAAAAACACTTTATTACCCTCCCTGTAGGCAGCAAACCTAGGTACTTGTTAAACCTAATGTTTTTTCCCCTCGGTGGGGTTGGGGTATTCACCTACCCCAAGCTACTCCGGCCTTATAGCCTATTGTAGCACCCCTAAGATCATTCTGACAGCCCTAGGCTTCTGATGTAGCCCAGGAGCTGAAAGACACCCAGTTTCCTCATCTCTGTAGGTTCCAAGTGCAGCCTTCCCACTCTTCCCAGAGACGTGAACTTTCTTTGGGCCAACGCTGGACAATCCAGCCATAAGTGTTCAGAGGTTTGGGGTGCCACAGTAGGGTTCTGGTCCTGTCAATTGTTCTTCCGCACCCTTCCTGACCAAAGCATCGGCTTTCTCATTCCCCTCATGCCCCCAGTGTCCAGGGACCCAAGCTAGTTTCACTTGGTTCCGCTTAGCTAGCTTTTTGAGGGTGTTTTTAAACCCCTTTACTGTTTGTGACTCTGTCACACAAGACACCATCGCTTTTAATTAGTGATGTGCGATACGTATCGTATCGTATCGGAATATCGCGATACGCGAGGGACGATACGATATTTCGATACGATATTTGAAAAACGATACGTATCGTATCGCCTAAAACGATATTTGTATTTATATCGGCACATAGAGCGATACGATTCATGTCAAAACGATATTTTTAAGCTTTTTTTGCGCAGGCCGAGCAAACTGCAAAATCTGTACTCTGTGGATGTGTAGTTTGAAATAGGAGTTTTTGACGTCTGTATTTTTGGTTTTTACTTAATAAAATGATAAAATGTACCAGTCCCATCCCAGTCCAGTCTATTTCCACTAGCGTCCTATCTAGCACTAGCAGTGCAGACTGCAGAGTGTGGGAACTGTCTGTGGCAATTACATTAATGTATCTGCAATCCTAAAATGCTATGGGAAGGATAGGGAAACAGGTCCAAGACGTAGGGAGTTGTGAAGGAAGTAGTAAAGGCGAGCAGTGTGGAGTGTGGGAATGGATTAATGTATCTGCAATACTTAAGACTGTTTGGCACTTTCTTGTTAAAGGGAACATTGCACATTCATTATTATCGATGATTTTTTTTCTCGATGTATCGATATTACGAATTTAAACATATCAGCTGACAACTACGATAAATATTTTTCAGTATCAACAAACAATAATGAAATGAAACTGTTCTAAAAAAAATAACCTAACATAACTAACCAAACTTGCTGTGTAACATTCCATGTTTAAATTGGCTTTTTCTGTTATCAAAAGGATTTTTAAATAGTAGGCTACTAGGCTTCAGCAAGTTTTGTTGGTTATGTTAGGTTAGCTGAGAACAGTTTCATTTCTTAATCCAAATAATAGACTACCTATTTTAGCCTAAACAAGATCATTTGTAAATATGTAATGGATCGGTAAACAAAAATATCGATACCGGTATATCGAAAAAAAATCATCGATAATAATGAATGTTCCCTTTAACAGGAAAGTACCGACTGTTTTCAGAGTAAACTAATGCTTTTCCCCGAGCAAAGCTCGATCCCCAGGTACTTATATAAATTAGCCGTTTCTAGGTTAGGTAGGGGAGGGGGAAAACGATACGATACGTATCGTTTTTCGATATTTTTGACGATACGATTCGCGTATCGCGATACAGACGCCCGATTCGATATTTTTTTCCGATACGTATCGTATCGCTGTATCGCGATACGCGTCCGTATCGTCCATCACTACTTTTAATGCAGCTTGGCTGTCTGAGAGGATCACTATTTTCCCCTTTCTCAGGTTCTTGCCTAGGATGGCATTTGCACAGCACTCAATCGCTAGGACCTCTGATTGAAATACTACTGTTACTGTGCTTCCCAGTGCTAAGGAAATGTTGGTTTTGTTGCCATACATCCCCAACCCCGATCTCTCATCCTTTTGACTTCCATCTGTGTAGTATACCAATCATGTTCTGTCCCTCTTAAGGTTGCACTGTTGCCAGTCATATCTTCCTCCTATCGTCACTTGGTAAGGAATCTTGAAGTTGAATTACTTTGTCATGAGGTCTGGCATATTTAGTTCCATGTTCACACTTGGGAAGTCCCTTAGAATGGACAGGTGACCAGCCTCTGATATTTCAACTCACCTCTGCTTCCCATTTTGAGCACAGCAGTGGCTGCACGTTTCTTGACTTCCAGCCCTAGTGGAAGCATGTTGAATATTGCCTCCATTGCAGCTGTGGGGCAGGATTTCATCCATTTCACCACTCTTTACACAGCCTTTGCAGCTGCTGCAGTTTCCTGCCAGCTAATAACATCAAACCTAATGTTATTTGAATATATTTAATTGAAAATCAAATCAGGCAAATGGAAATTCGCTTAATCTGCAGGTTCGCTGCTATGAGGGAATTTTTATTTAATTTTTTTCAACTTAACTACTAGGAGGAGGTAGCATAGTTGGGGTAGCTATGTTTAAAGATTATTGCATAACTGATCAGTAAATTTACTGTACTCCAGATGACTTAACGATCCCTGTCTGGTCTAAAAAGAGTACTAAACTCATCAGCTTATTGTGGAGTGTTGAAAAACACAAGTTTTTAGACAATAGTTATTTGTGTAACTAGTGTGCGAAGTAGCACTTTGCTGCACACGAGAGAAATTCTTACGCACAAGCCGCAGACGAGTGAGGAAAGTTTCTAGAGTTCAGCAAAGGCACTTTGCACTAGTGTTACATATTATATTTTTTCTACAGTTACTATAAAGCATAGAAATAATTAGTCTTTCAAACAGTAAACAACACGGTTTAGGTTAGGTTAAATCCAAGCGTTGAAAACGAAATGGGAGCACCAGCTGATCGTAGTCGTAGTATCTTGAAGTGTTGTCAACCTATTTCGAAACGTATACGGGATTACGTGTACAATAAAAGCACACTGTTTTGTGTTGTTTGGTTGGAATACTGGTGCGGCAATAAAAAAGTGTGCGGCAAAAGTAGGTAAATGCAGCAATTAGCAGCTTTCTGTACTATAATCAGTGCAAGGAAGCCCACTTTGTCGGGCGACTGTAGGAAAAATAGTTTTAAACTGTCTATAGATGAATTGTCTTAATTTTCAAATAAAAACATATTTCACTATGACCCCTTTTTAACACCATCAGCTAATTATATCGGTCGTGAAAAATGTAATGCCACAGGCAAAGAACAACAACCAAAATAATAAAACTGACATTTAGTGACATTGTATTGAAAACTTTCTTGGATTTAAAAAAATTAGGTATTATGAATGGAAAGGATTGATTTATGTCAATATTTACCTCAAGGCGGCTTTTACTTGTTAAATGACAGTGTTTTTCATGTTCTATTTAACTGAAGTTAGAAAGCTCATTAGCAAGTTACAAAACTAGGATAACCTAATGTTCATATATTTGCTCCTTCTCATAACAATCAATCCCACAATCAAATCACAACTTTTACCAGGTTAATAAAATGTACATAACTCAGTTTGCTTTGTATTTTTTTTTTTTTCTAACTTTTATATATGAACAATGATAAAAACTCAATTATTGAATTTTTACACTAATTTTTACAAGAATGATCCACAATTTCTTAAATTAATAGAAATAACAATAAATATTATGATCCAGTACAAAAATTACCAACATGAATAAAAACAAACAAGGGCACTTTGGTATTTGCTGTCATTCACTTATATACAATATATATATTGTGTATGTACGAAAGCAGACCGCAGTAGGTTTGAGCGGCGGCTTGTGTCGCAAGATGTCATGTTGCGCAAATCTCCATCACAAGAGTTTAGCTCTTGGAGCCCTCACCATCAAAGCCGAAGGGGTGCTCGCTACTGTAAATCTGCCCTGTACAAACACATCAAATCAGACATTAGGCCCAAGTCTCTACAATTTTAAATATTGAAATTGAAATTCTACTCAAAGGTACAAAGAGGTCAGTTTTGTAAGCAATTTAACACTAAAAGAGGTATGAGGAGACTAAATAAAATGTTTTACACAAAAACCAAATAAGTAAATTTCTTCTATGTAGAGAGAGAGTACAATGCAAAACTTACATGAAGGAAATTCATAAAATGAGGCTAGCTGATAAAAATAATTACAATGTTATCAGATAAAAAAATAAAAATATTGCCAGAAATAAACATATCCGAGTCATAATATATGAAATTCTTGAGATAAAGGCAATTTTTTTATTGTATGTAAAGAGAATAAAACCACCCAAACAGCACAAGCACATTTATTGGGGAGATTGAAAATAAATGTGACCAGGTTATTCCACTGTAGCATTCTTCACGTAGAGAATAAGATAAAAGCTAATGGGACAACCGCCCGCTTTCAGCTCTGGTATATTGGGGTGGAAATGTACTAGTTTCGAACAAGGAAGAGCCCAAACGGCGATGGCCACACAGCATATTTGTAGAGCAGTTGTAGCGCACAGGGTCTTCCTAACAAGTGAGCACAAGCGTAGTGTGGTAGTACGTGATAGTGAAGGGGGAAAGGAGAGCGGAAGGGGACGATGAATAGAATTTGCTCTAGACACCAGCGACTGGTGCCAGACACCACTCAAGTGTACCGTTCAATATATCCTCTATTTATTTCTTCTCTAGCTATTTTTCATCAAAGTATATTTTTTTTTAGAAAAAAAAACACTGTGGTATGACTTTAATTATAATAATTATCTGCCGCAGACAAGCCATTACGGGCTTTTGTAGCTATATTATTGTATGTGTTTGTAAATCAAAATAAATTTGTATAAATTTGTCTATAAATTTCTATAAATTTGTATTTTTTGGAAATAAATAAGTAGGATTAATAAATACAATTTGAAATACAACATGTGTGATAAAAGAATATTCATGTGGTTTTCAAGCACAATTCATTGGAATCTTTGTTGGCTAGCACTGATGTGTGACTAAAAGGTTTTTTAACACAATATTGCACAAGGTTAAATGAAATAAAATAGCAAAAATGTACCAGAAAGTGTAGAGACCTTATATACACACTATATTATACAAAGGGAAATGGGAAGTGTTTTCTGACAGACATATGATGTTGCATACCTGAGTACCGAGTACTACGTAATCTAGTTGGAGTGGGTTTCATCCGTCACTCTGAACATCAGGAGGCTGCTGAGGTGGTATGCTCTCGAGATATGAGAGAGTTCTCACAGCTTCTGACTTCTTAGAGGGAGGGAGGGCTTGGAACATCTCCACTAGTGCGTCCAGCGCTACATCCGGGGAGTTCTGCAAATATCAGACATTAACAGCTGAACAGTTTCAACAAATTTTCTCTTCTATATACCAGTGTCAGATTTATTGAAAGAATTAATAGTAGCAATAACTGGGCCAGTGTCCTCACTCAAACTAGAATATGAAATTCATACGGTCATATTTGAATGTTTTTGTGAACTTGATAAGGTTCAGATAAGCTTGGTTTAAAGGAGGAAGAACGGTGAAATTGAGGTGCAGTCTACCAGACTTCACACATTATTAAGGTACCAAACATGTTCCTGCAGACAGTTGCTTTCAAAATTCAATTTTTTATTTAAAAGTGAGACCCTGACATTTGGGAAACTTTTATTCCAGTTAGTTAAGTTAGATTTTAATAATTTCTTAAATGTATGGGACGGAACCTTGAGTTGCAAAACCATCTGCAAGGTTTGTGCAATCAAAAAATTACATTTTGTCCACAATCGGTAGATTCTAGAATCTGTGTTGGAATTAAACATTTAACGACACACTATTGAAGGCCATTCAATCAAAAATCATCATCCCTGCAGAAACTTTTGCGGAATTGAGAATTAATTGGAGCAATTGTCTTTAATTATGTAACCTCAAAATTCAGGGCTCTTCTTGATTTAAAAACTTATAGTGGTTGGTTAATTTAATTTTCTCTGTTGAGTAGATTCCCCGCTGAGTTAAGTTTTCTATGGATTAGACAATACATTAGATAATGCATGAGTACTGTTGTTCGTAGGACACGTGTGGTATGACTGGCACATGCATCTACTATACACCCTGTAGTATGTTTTCCAATGACATAGCTGGGAAAACACAATAGCCATAGACCAGCCACCAAACAAAGGAACTTGTGTGGTTAAACTCATGTAATATTCTTCAATACTACATTGACTGAGCCCTTACTTTCTTGCTTAAACTCAATCACATGCATGGAATTGAGTTTTTTAGTAGGAACCCCAAGATAAAGAAATAGTGTATTTAAAAATAAAAATACTTTCTTGGCAATTAAAAAGTAAGATTATTAATGGATTTGATTGTGTTGATGAGAGTGCTAATATTTACCTCAAGGGCAGCTTTGACTTGTTGAATGACTGCGTCTCTCATGACTGACTTAATGTTGTTATGTACTGTTGAATCAGCATTGCTGAGTTGCTCTTGGAGCCAGGAAACCACTGATTCGTTGTTTTCCCATAGGTAAGCATAAGTAGTTCCTTTGTCTTCAACAAACCACCGTCTGATCATAGCTTGTAGCTGGTTCTCGTTGAGGTTCGGTTGTGTCTTGATGATTTCTTTCTTCACTTCATTCTCGTACAGTAATCTCTTTAGCCTCCAGTACAGAATGGTCCTTGATTTCCTCCATGGAACGATATCCTGTAGATATACAAGAGTGATAGAAAAATATCCTTTATAGTTAATATATCTAAGGCTAATATGAGAGGTAGTAATATAGAGAGGAAATTTCATCCTATGATAAATATTCAACTGTAAGTTTGTTTAAATAGATTTTATTTTACTATAGCGAATTTCATATAGGGAATACACTATTACCGTAGGTCTCACGGTAAGACCTGGACTGATTTACTTTTTCATTTTGATGTCCCCATAGGCCAAAAACACCATCCGTTCAAATTTGCATATACGTCTGTTAGTACCATAACTCTAGCAAAAGTGATCCGATTTTGATCAAATTTGGTACAAACGTGTAAACCCATGTTTATTTGATCAGGTTTGCTAACCAGCGTGATCGGACCACAGGAACTGGGTTTTATACTAGGTTTGCTGCAGCAGGGGTATTTTAAAATTAAAAGATAATTTTGATTAAGAAAAAAATGTTTTTGTTTTTATTGTTACAACTAAGGACAGGTTTTTTTTTTTGAATTAGTAAAATTCAACCACAGTAGTAATTCTGCTTAAATGATATTGGTTTCAATTTCGTAACACTAAATAAGCAGTTGGACAAAAATCACAATTAGAACAAGTGCAAAACGGTATGTATAGTCCCTCATAAACTGACCGGAATATCAAATAAGGATGCTTGAGCAGGCAGGAGGCAAGGCAGTCTGATATCGGCTTGACAGCTTCTTGAGTATATATTTGCGTAATATTTCAGATGTTCTTACAATAACGGGTATTTTTAGACAGCTCACAGTAAACCAGCATTTTTAGTAATCCAACACTGCCAAATTTCTAAATGTGCTGCTGGATCTAGTCTAGTGTAATTTAGTCAAAAAGCTAGTTGAATAGGTAAATATTTTTGACATTTTATAAATTTACAATGAAAAACAAATGTTAAATGTATAACCATAGTTTTATTGTAATATGGAGGTTCATTTACCACGATGACTCCTTTCTCATGCATTCTCTCAGGAGTGTCGTGGAGATCAGCAAAGTGCACGGCCACTTGGTGGTACGTGGGCATCAGGAACTTCTCTCTCTCAGAGATAGACTTCTCTGTCTTTGTCTTGTCATCAGTGCTCAGTTCTCCAGTCAACTTGTTCTTGAGTTGCAGCAGCACTGGGTCCACTCGGTTCATCACCTTCAAGAGATCCTTCTCTCTGAATTTGATCTCCACAATACCCTCAGGCTCCAGGACTCCACCCCTGAAAACAAATATAACGTCAAAACACTTTCAATAACATCTTAAACACTAACTAGTTATTTATTAGTAATGTTTGATTTTACAGATAGTTTTTAAACCCTATTTTCAACAATAAGGGTGATTTGGCTCAAATGAAGAGCAATCTGGGGATCCAGTTTTTGATCAATTTATCCAGCAGCTGGGCCATGTACCGGCCAATCACACGACTGATGTTTGCTTCCAAATTGTCCAAAGTTTGTGGATTATTGGCATAGACTAGATTCTTTACATTTCCCCCCAAAAAATTGTCTACTGGTGTCACATCACATGATAGTGGAGGCTAGTTCATACGCCATTACCAAACACATCTTATTCTTGCAATAAGTCTATTACTACGTGTGCTGTAAGGCAAGTAGCGCCATCATGCTGAAACCAAAGAAGCGAGGAACCAAAAAGATGTTGTTCAAAGCACTATAAAACCCTCTATTTACAATAAAATCATAACTTGGCTAACTTTGAAAAAAATATGGGCCAATGATCCCACCAGCCTACAATACACACCAAACAGTGACTTGTAATGGATGCAACTGCTTTTCCATAAATGTTCTTGATTTTCTTTACTCCAAATCCGGCAATTTTGCTTATTGACACACATGGCCGTTCAACCAGAAATGAGTCTCATCACTGAATAAAGTGTTTGTTATATGATTGTCGGTATAGGGCCCCAGCTGCTGGATAAAGTGATCGAAAACTGGACTTCCAGATTGGAAGTTATTTCAGCCAGCCACAGCACTCATATGCTGGAAATGATCTTTAACTAACTTTGAGCATGTATAATTTCCTCTTTGAAATAATTACCTTCCGAGTTTTGGACAGTTGGCAAATTTTAAATGCTAATGAAACATATTTCTATACATTCTTTCAATCAGTGAACTGCAACCTGAATAAACAATCAATTATGTCAACCGAGTAAAAAAAATAAATAATAATATGGTCAATAGAGCTGCAGCTGAGCCTCAACAATCTCACTTCAGGACTGGGATAGTGTTAGCACAACCAAAACATCTGACTTCCTTAACTATCAGCAAAGAAAGTCAACTTACGATGTGTTGATGCATACACCACTATTATGGTTATTAAAGTTGATAAGTTTAGCAAAGCAACTATTTTTGTTAAGCAAATTAACATTTATTAATTTATTATTATTGAATACAAAAATTGAATCAAATTCCAGAACTGTGCAGATATTGACCAATGGCTCATTTAGTGCAGCGTCAGATTGTGTTGAACTAAAAATTATCAGATAACTGAGTAGGCCTACCATTTATTTGTAGTTACGTTAATAAACTATACATGGCCCTAAATTTATTACGTAGGAAGAGCAATAATCTATGAACTACGACTAAAATAGCACCACTACCAAACTCCAAACTAATTTGGCACTTTTGCAAGCAAATGAATTTAATCTAATCAGATATTTTAATAGTTTAACTGTTTCATAGATTGTTCTAATTTTTAAAAAGGTCTATACGTAAGAATTGCATACACTTTTGAGGGAAAGCAATCCAAAACCTCAAATTTTTGTGTATGTGCTGGGAATGAAACCATCCCTCTAGAACTGTAGCTTGGGACCCTAACTACTATGCTAGCAACACACCTTATAAGAGTTCTGAGTTCTTATACATTATTCTCAGGATATCTTGATTATCAAAAGGTAAAAAGTATTGATTATGGTTTTTCAACTACCAAAGATCTGATGTATGTAATGTGAGCCAGTTACCTGCTGTCAGGATCGGCATACATCTCCATATGGTTGGGGTTGATGGTAGAGTCTACCACAGCCCAAGCACCTCCTCTTAACTCTCCATTAGGTGGGATATAAGTGATGATGGGTTGCTTGTACTCTCTCAGTCCGTCCACAATGTATGCTCCAAACTTGAGGATTTGCTCATACATGTCTGCAACAGATCAAGGGGGCGTAACTAGGTGTATTAATATGCAAAACATTATCATTGCATCCCACAATAGCGGTGAAATCTAGCTCATCTCCAGCAATTGTGGAGACACCATCGTCGTCAAAAGCAATCACACTGAAATTGCTAATGATATTATGATGTATTTAGGCAAGCAGTATTAAATTTAGTAATCATAAATTTGGTTTACATTGCATTAAAAACAATGTCACAATGATATCACGGTAAGATTATGATAATTTCCCTTGGTCATCATCACCATCTCCTGCAATGGCAGTAAAAAATCCTGTTTATCTCCCACAGTCCCGAAAACATCATCGTCTTATGAGATCGCAGCCAAATCCAGGGCCATTCCCGCGGTCATGGAAAAGTCACCATCTTCATTGATCGCGGCAAAATCCTAGGCGAACCCCGTGGCCTTAGAAAAATCCATCATCATCGTCTCCCGCAGTAATGGAACCATCATCATCTTCTCCATTGGTAACTGAAATATCATTATTGTCTTACGCGATCTTGACAAAACCAAGGATGTCTACCGTGGTTGTGTAGACATCATCATCGTCTCCCGCGGTAACAAAGACATTATCATCCACTTCCGCGATCAAGGTCGAATTCTGCCTAGACCGTTCTGTGGCCTAGGGAAATATAATGATCGTCTTCGGTCATTGCAGCAAAATCCTGTGCAACCCTTCCATGGACATTACGGCTAAATCCTGTACTGTTCCTGCAGTCATGGAAAGATCATTATCGTCTTCGGCCATCTCGGCAAAATCCTAAATATCTCCTGCGGTTTTGGAGACATCATCATCTCATTTGCGATCGAAGAAACTTTATCTCTGTCAACCAAGATCATGGCAAAAGCCAGAATTTTCCAATCACGTGATCTTAGCAGACGCGTACTGTGATAGCGATTGTAAAAGCTAGGCTCAATTTCAATTTTCTGAGTTGGAGTTCAATCTCTCGAGCCTGAAGGCATTGAAGGCTTGGTTTGGCTTTACTCAAAAATCAAGCTACTTGCACTTCTCTAATCAAATTGTCTATTTTTAAAGATTGATAGTATATATTAATCGGGACCCATCAATCCCTAATATACTAAATTTTGACATTCATCTCATTTTTATGCAACAGTATTTACTTATAGATTATTAACTGAATCTTTTGATTATGGCAACACTTGAACTTTATATTTTGTATTTGTTGAACAACTTACCTTTCATACCACCACTGAACCCTCTCCAGTTAGGGAAGATGATAAGTGGAAGTCCCTCATGACCAAAGTCCTTGATAGCCTGTGAAGTCTTGTAAGCTGAGTCAGGGAACCATACCTGCCCAGCTTGTGATACAGTCTGAAAGCAAAGAAAAAATGTATCACTGATATATGCACACTACTAATAGTACATTTCATTACTACAACCGAGAGTAACATTTTGCGGTGAGCACTCAAGGTTCATGTGTGAGGCAAAGCCGAATACGAGAGTTATTTTCCCATACGAGGCGAAGCCAAGGATGGGAGTAATGGAGCAAGTGCCGGAAAAATTACTTTCGGTACAAGTTATGAACAATACTTTTCATCACAACGCAAAAATACACACATACAGATTAACAGACCTCAGTAATATTAAAATAGTTTTAGACCACTCTTTATCATGGAAGTTGTTTGTTTAGTTATCTCTGAAGCTTTTTTCATCAAATCATCAGGAATGTTAGACATATTTTGAGCAATTTCAAACACATACCATGTTAAAAACAAAAACACAGCAAAACAAACAAATGCCTGTTTCTCAACATGTATGTTTTTTTTTTTTTTTTATCATAGATGTAATGAAAAGGTTAATTTTATTTTATTCTTTTAAATTCACTTATGTTTTTTTCTTCCTTTAAATATTTGTGTACATATTCTGTAAATAATTTGTTGGAATAAAGAGATAACTCATTCATTCATTCATTCTGTATACATTTAGATTGTGCAACAATGAAAACAGCTGATTTTAATCATTAAAATAAACCATGCGTAGTGGATAAATGGAGAACTAATAGAGAAAAAGGGAAATTAAATTTAGAGAGAGGGAAATTCAGCTGATCGTTTTTCCCTTTATCTTAATTAGAACTTGGGAAACAGCTAATTCCTGTGATATCAGCTGTTGTGGAAAATACCTACTTTCCGGATGGAGTGATAAAAATGTTTATTATTATTAAAACAAATAACACAGGCCACTTGGCTGACGATTTAATAACGTTAATAACTAACTGGAACTACATACTTGATACATACTCATACTTATCAAATTAATTAGGTACCTAATTATTCTTGTTGAAAAATAAAGAAGGTTGAACTAACATTAATTACATTTGGCTTTGTACAAAATTCAAACACTACTGTCATTAATTAATTGTTCAGAGGTGACAGTATTTCCTTCTATATTCTTTCAAATAGATTTCTTTCGTTACTTGTAGTTTGAGAACTTTCATAACATGAAACTGGTTAAAATTACTTTGTGATAACTATTTTCTGAGAAAGATTCATGTTTAATATTACCTTTGCTTCAGAGTCAATATTGGCAGGGTCGGCGGGTAGTTTGAGCTCCACAGTTCTGGTTTCAACTGCAATAACTCCAACTGGGATACCACCGAGCCTGGCACGACCACAGACCACAGTTTGAGCCCAAGGTTGCATGATCTCCTCCCAGGAACCATGGTCAAAGAACCCAGTCTCCCATTGAGCTGTGTTATCTTTCAACAAAATAAAGTGATCACTTCTCCTGGACTAAATACAACCAAATGAATTTAATAAAAAGAAGGTAGGTGCAATGAAAGTTTACCTTTTCCTGAAAATTTTAAATAAATAATGTTGCTGTTTTGTATAAAACAATTGAGTTAGCTATAGTAAATTTAAAAATAAAATTAAATGGAATTATACTTTATTCACATTAATTTTATACATAGAGTAATAGAATTTTTTTTACTCATAAATAATACAGCAAACATTACTAATAAAAATTATATCCCGTAGAATAGAGTGAACAAAAGATTGTAAAAAAAATACCATCCATAACCAAGGAAAAAGACAACATAGGCAGGACCTAAGAGCTGCGATAAGTCACAATTTAAACGGGAAGTAGAACAAATTTATAGGGAAATAATCAAATATAATTCGTGTCAGTTTTCAAGAACCTCGATTATCTGGAGTGATGGGGAGGAGAGAGACCACGGATAACTGAAACCAAGGTTAATCCAACATAACATAAAAACCCCATAGAAAAGTGTAAAACTGTATAAATGGATGTTAATGTGATCATTTGCATATTACATCATCAAAATACAATAAGTAGGTTAGTGCAATCATGATATGTTAAGTCATTCATTAACCTTGGCTCAGTAGTAATAAAAGCTATCATTTGAACTTTAAAATCACAGCTTACTCAAACTTTAACTAAAAAAAAAAATCCAAACACTGTACAGCAATAAATCACATAAAGAACAGATTAATAGAAATTTTAGTACCTATTGCTAGTCACAGGCTACTGATACATGCTGTTTCAGGACAGAAGAATGTCGATAAAGTAGTTTACGCAACAATCGCTTAAAGATTGTGTTAACGACACAAGTAGAAATTTAAGGTAAGAGTTTTGTTGAGTGTCTAAAAAACATCTACAAGTGTCGTTAAGACTATTTATGCGAGTTGCGTACACTACTTTACCTGTGACAGTTTTTAATTAGTAACAATCACTATTCATTAATTTATTTATTTATATCAACGGACTCATAACTTCTAAAGCCATTTTTTTGTACTTACTGGGGTTTTGTCTTCCTGCCAGCATCCACCGAGGGTCGTATGGAGTCTTTGTAGGCATGAACCCTATCTCTCTGTCGACAGAGTCCACGGGTTTGATGATAGGCACAGGAGACAACTTGTCTTTAGGAATGTAAGAGAGCCACTTCATGGTAGTGTAGATACCATCGAGGTCTCGGGGCTCAGTCTTGTGTGTTACACCGTTGTTGTACATAATCTGTGTACCACCCAACTGATTGTTGGAGGCATACACTGCCCTACCCAAGATCTGAAAAATACCATAATTGATGTTTTGATGAAGTCTAAACCTAGGAAATCGACTATCTAGACTGACAGCTCAGTTTCAAGTCAGCCTTTTGGTGAGCTTTGAAGTACTTATAAATGCCATGTCAGAACCCAGAAATACTGTCAAAACCTTAACAATAATTAGGGGGACTATAAATTTGATTTGATTTGATTATATGGAAAGATTCATATAGTGGGTGGTCAATTAAGGCAGCAAAACTGGCTAACACTTAAAAAAACCTTTTTGGTTACAAGTTCAACACATAATAACAGATTTGGTACAGTTTTGACAATGGTCAAATCTTCCATCAGAGCTAGGTAACACTGATATGGAACCAATAACGATTTAATCAAAATGTTGATACATTATAAAATAATACTTAAATTTTATATTAGGGAGCAGTAAAATGGACTTAGTAGAATACCCACTCCACTTATTTATGAAGTGGAGGTAACATTTTAAATCAATTTTGTACCAAGTTTTTAGTGAACTATCTGGAACACTTTTCATGGGCAAGTTGTTTATCCATTGGATAACTCACCTTGTTGAGAGCACTGCAGCCCGTGAGGATGATGTGAGAGTTGTCTATTTGGATAGTTCTCTGTCCTAACCTCACCAGGTAGGATCCGATACCAATGGCACGACAAGACACCACTGAGATGGTCACCACTTCTTTGTACGCTTGAGAAGTCTCTCCTGCTACCATACCTGCGTACTTCAAGTTCTCAACACCAAGACCATCGTCCTTGCCTGCAAAACAATACGCAAGGCTGTAGAAACTTTAAACATACCGAGGTGTAATTTGAGTAAAGTTAGGTGTGTGAGTATAAAATGTGCAACAGACTTTCAGTTAAAAGTGAAAATTATAATCAAACATGCTAATAAAGACTTAACACCTCACTTTTAGTTTTAAGAAAGAGTTTTTTCTTTCTGAAGGAATCCTTCGAAGAACCAACCCTGGACTTAAAATATCCATTACTACAAGTCTAGGTTCCTATTGCCTTTGCTGGCTGCATTCAAATTTAACATTTTTTTTTTCTTTTATGTACCTGTGTGTAAGTGATAGTGCAGTGACAAAATATTATATCTAGATAGAGATAATCTAGTGAAGGACTACTGATGATAAGAAAAGATAAATGTTATGTTTATAGTCTCACCCAACGTTTACCTACTGTCAAAGTGGGAGATGAATTATCAAATGTGATCACCACTACTGACCATATTACTGTGTGATTGGGCTTCTCGCCTATTCTACAGATAAATTAAAAATTCTTAAAATAAATTTTAACGCCAAACACTTTTATGTTAAATAAATCACAATTTTTAATTATTAACAAAACAAATGTTTTTTGGTTTGATCAGTACATGAATAATACGAATTATAAACTACACAGTAATTTCATGGTTTGGAGTATATCTAGGCATTTTCCTAGAAATGTATAATTTCTATGGGTCTGCGGTGCACCGAAAAAGTCACAAGCTTAATTACCGTCATCAGTTCGTAAAGCATTTTGGGTTTTGTTTACATCTTCATAATTTATTACTAGGGTGATAATGCAATAAAAAACCCATTAGCAGTCCCAAATCCATTAACATTTTATCACGACAACAATTGTTGTACATTCAAGTACTTTCAAGAAGTGTTGAGTTTTATCACTTTTATCTATTTACGACTTTCCCCAATTCTATTTTATCATAAAAATAATAGTTTTATGATGACTGTTAAATGTTATCTCTAACTCAGTCAGTATTTTCGTGAATATTCAATTTGCCGCTGGCCATTTTCTACTGCCATAAAACTGTTTATGGCTACATATTAAACTTGTAACTAATCTACAATCTTATTTTATACATTTTTTATATATTATATATTTTATTATTTTATATTTGTTATAGATATTTTATCTTTCTATTGACGAAACCACAAGCATAGTTGTTGTTGTTTGCATTTTTTTTTTTTCGTTATGCAAGCCTACTCGGTCTCAAATTATGTCGTTGCATGTTCTGTATCTTGTCTTATATTGTTAGATGTGGCTGTTTAAGGCCTAAATGTTTTTTAGTTTCCTGTATTTTTTGTTGTGTTGAAGGTACTTTATGCAATCTAAATCTTATGAACTAGATAGTGATTTTGCTACCCTCATTGTAACCTAATCAATTTATATATAGGCCCTCCTAAATAATTAGGTCTAGGCCTGGGTCTTTTGATTCTTTGGAAGAGCTTTAAAATATACTAAGAAAATTGGATTGAGCCTGAGATAAACTAATGATTGATATGTGTGGATGTTAACTTTGTAAATGAAAAGACAAAAATCTTACTCTGTGATAACCCAAATTTTGGTTTCAGAAAAAAACTTTGCAAGAGTTGTATCCATCTTGTAATTAGTTTCAAAGCTGATAAAAAATACGCTTTGCCATTACTTCATCATAACCTCCAGTTTTTCATTGTCGTCTGCTGTGAACAGCTGGCAATTACACTGTCTTCGTACTGAATGCTTTTATATGTTTTTAAAATTTTTAAAAACAACTAGACATTGTGTTGGTGGTGTTGGTAAAATAATTTACCAGTTGTGTGAAATTATTAGGGGTGGGCGAGTACTCGACTGTCGAGTAATTACTCGAGTAGTTGGCAATACTCGACAGCCGAGTCGAGTAGTTAAAGATACTCGTGACTCGAGTCGAGTAGTAGACGTTAAGCCGATTTTGTTATTTTCATTGATATTTGACAAATAAATAGTAAGAAAGGAAAATGTTTGAGTTTTATTTAATCCCTTAACCCCTTTAAATATTGACATACTAGGCCTACAGTACTAATAATCGGCAACCTAGACATCGCTTGCGTCATCCATTTCACTGACAGCGACAGCGCCGAGCCGACCCGCCGCGCCGACAGCTGACACTGGGTCACTGGGTGATAGGCAGTGGTGTAGGTGTGCGAGTGCGATGCATCGAATCCCGATTCGATCCAGCATGCATCAAAATCCCGATGCATCGATTACGTCACGATACAGCTCTACTAGTAAAAAGGGATGAGTCGATTATCGTCATCGATACCACCGATACTTGGACATTGGTATCGGTACTAAGACTCGATTGTCAAAAGTCGATTCCGATGATACCGACATCTGACAGGGATAAATATTTTATTTTAACATTTATTTACTGTATAGCTACAGTATTAGTTTTGTAATCACGGTTAACAATTTTCATAGCCAACTTAGAAACTATCTAGTTCAAAACAGCGACAGTGCCGGTGACATTGTTTAGCTTCAGCATTGCACAACACAATCTACGAATCTAAATTTCAAGATGTCAGACTCAACTCAAGAGACAACCGGCGCGCGAATGTCCTGCCAACACGAAATTAATTATACTAAACAATGTCTGTATCAATAAGTCAGACATTTAGATGTATTATTTTTATTTTTAGTACAAAATAAATAACCTAAACACGTCGAAATTTTCAGTTTAATAATCCCTGCATTATACGCATCATTAGAAAAATTATATTCAACCATTAAACTTTAACATCGTCGTATGGTTAGGCTTGCTTTATATTGCGCCAAAAAGTAGATCCATATTTTGATCTGTACTATCTACCTGATTAAAGAGTTAAGTGAAGTTTTAAGTGCTACTATAACATAATGTATTTATTGAAAAATATTATAAGCCTTAGTCCGCGTCGATTTTGTAATGTTATAACGAATGGTGAGTGTTTACAATAAAAGTATGTAACGACAGTTCTCATTGGTCAGGAGGCGTCAGTGCAGTACCATGTGAGCCAATCGACTTTCGTGTTTCAATGGAGCAAATGACTATTGCTTTGACATCGTTTAATGTTTTATTGTGGGTGGAAAGGGTATCGATAAATATCGTGATTCGAGATCCGATATGTAGGACGTGTTTGTTTATAAATAATGAGTATTAAAAAGTATAAAAAACTAGGTTACAGACAGGTTCAAAACTTCGATTGTTCCGATCCATTGTTGACACCCCTACACGGAGGTTATAGTGACGTCGTGCATAAGGGCCAGGCAGGCCGGTTCACAGTGAATCCACTCTGCCGAACCTTGTTCTTGGTATAATCCATGTATAATCGGATTTGTTAAAAGCACTCTTTTGGTCTTTTGGAGATTTTAGTCCCAAAACATAATCTTTATTGTAGGCTAAAAGTAAAACCTATCTATTGCCATACTTTTCTCGACGTCGACTTAGGCTATTATGCAATGTCTTTAAAAAATACCAGGGTTTGGTGTTTCAGTCAAAATACTTTTGTAAACATTGACAATGTGCTGTTTTAGCACAGTTCATTCCTTGACCACGATCGTTTTTACTCACTAGAGAAAAGACTCTCCTTACAAAATGTATTTGTAGGCCAAGATGTTTGTAATTTTTTTAATGTATAACTGCAATTGCTTTTAAAAAGAAATACAAAAACTGACAAATGACTTAGATTAATACTTAAAAAGTTAATCCTATTTATAAATTAGAGGAAACTATTAGATCTCATCATAGTCAAATTCAAACATTTACAGTATTTCAAAATAATTAATTAATACTCTTGTGTAATGGAAATCTGCAAGCGACTGAGGCCGAGGGTGAGGGAGGGCATGTGAACCAGGCTTTAGAACAAGGGCAAATTCTGCCAAACTTTCTCTTTTCCTCCCCCATGTCCCGTTAGACGGTGGGTGGGGCTTCACACAATAAACAGTTCATTCATTCACAGTAGAGAAGAGTTTTAGTGGCAGTGACGTATGTCTCTTGTCTGCTCTTCAAGTTCACACATCTGGACTTCTTTAAAACAATTATAAGTGATAATTTTTATTAAAAATAAGTGAAAAACTGTTGACATTTTCAAGGAAAAAAAGTTAAGAAATAAAAGTGTTAAAAATTTTGTTTGATTAGTTATTTTGTATTTCAAAAATATCCTCATTTATGATTATGTTTTCAGCTAGACTTGGTGACTTTTTCATAGTTAAACAAATTTTGAAGATATATAATTAGTGAGAAAATGTCATTATATAGGAAGTTAGTTTTTACTCACTTGGGGGAAAAAACTTACCTTACAAAGAGTATTTGTAGACCAAGATGTAGGCTACGTAATTTAAAAAAAATGTATAAACTAATGAGTTAACTAAGACAATTTCATGGAATTTCAAATAAATACAAAAACTGAGAAATGACTAGGGGTGTGCAAGTACTCGAATCTTCGAGCTTTTTGGTCGAGCTTTTCATTATTCGGCTCGGCTCGAGGCATTTTGAAAAAGCTCGAAGTTCGAGCCGAGCTTTTAATACTAAGTCAAAACACTTAATTTGGGTCATAATGGAAAACAATGTTATCACAATTCTACGTTGTTCATGCATTCGAGGTTTGATAAGCACAAACCTCAGCTCAGTCAAGACGCAATGATTATCGATCGTAATTTTGAGGAGATAGGAAAGAGACAAACGACCACCTAACCTATCGGGTTGTCTTTCTAACAGCTATTTGTATCGTAATATACAACGCAGTGCGAGTGCGTGATTGGCTTGTCGCTATGACGACACACGGTTGCCGTGACAACCTACAGTGCGCATTGAGCACTGCGCCTTGTGTGGGAGGGGAGATTATATCAACAAACAATTTCAGGAATTCTATTTTGGGACGGATGAAAGATAAGGAAGAAACAAAAAGTGGTCACGTGTGCAAATGTATTATAAGGCGTGATCCTTATTGATGTATTATGGGCGACACAATAAGGCTGTAAACCAGTATCGTCATGTCGTCGTTGTTCCTTGTCTGTTTACTTTTTCAGATTCCTTATCAAACGCCCCTATCTGCTATCTCTCTTTCTCTCTCTCTCTCTCTCTAACAATGTACTGATTAAACAGATTGTGGTTGAAGACTTTACTACTTATAAGTTTCCCTGCAGTTATTTTAGTTCAATCAATCCTATAACCTTTCTAATGTTTATCAAAATAATTAATTATCTGTTTTGTATTTTATTTCCTTTAAACCAACCCCTATTTACCATTACCATATGTATTTTATATAATAAAATGTTTGTTTATAAAGTTTGACTGGCCACACAATTTTGTACTTTTTTATTTTGTATAAAGTAACAGTTACCTTGATGATTATATGTATCAATAAGTGGTGCGTGCTGTAGTGAATGCTTTTTATTATCAAAATAAGTAATGAATTATTAATTTTTGATAATAATACATGGGTCATTGAATACCATAATGTGATGTAGTTTCCTATTTGTAACTTGCAAATTATAATTGATAGTTAATTCTGGAAAATGAAAAATAGTGATCGCATTCATAAACCTGTTGTCAAAACAGGACGGGTGTAAGGGTTTATTGTTTCATAGGGGTACAAAGGACGTGGGTGTTTCAAGGACAAAGTGTTGGGCCTCCCGGTTTAGGGGGGAGGGGTGGTGGTGGGACTGCAAGAAGGGGAGGAAACTAGTTTTAGCTATTTATTGATTAGTTGCCGACCCTTCTAGATAACAAAATTGAGTGACAGTGTTAATTCATAGTGTTCTTTATTTCATTTCTTGTTTAATTTGTGTGTTATTCTATTAATTTTAGTGTTTTGGTCTATTTCCTCCATATGTCAATTATATCTTTTTTAATATAAGTTTACTTTTTACTTGTCTCTCCACCTTTTTGGATCCAAACCAACTATGTTCATTTTTGATTAATACGATTGATAAAACTAAAATATTTTGTGCATGGAAAACAACAAGAATAATCACGTGTTTATAAATTTATTTTGTACTTATTTATACAAAATAGAATTAAATATTCATAGTAGTTACAATATACATAATAATATAATCGACTTGCTAGTTGTTTTGTCGTCATTCAAGGTCGCGTTGCTGTTCTGTTATGAAAGACAATCTGATTGTCTCAGTCTGCACTGCATATCTCGTCAGGCCTTCAATCGATATCCTTTTATTTCTTGCATCTTAATTTAGTTCAGTTCAGTTCTTTTCGTGATTATCTACTATTTGATGTCTTGACAATTCTCAAGGTTTTTAAACATATTAATATAACATTGTGTTTATTTAAAAATTGACTGAACATTATTATTATGCACTTTTTTAAGAAAAAAAGTTTAATAATTTAGATAAGGTGACGCTAGAAAAAGCTCGGCTCGAAAAAGCTCGAGCTCGAAAATTTTTGAAAAAACTCGGCTCGGCTCGGCTCGAGGTTGAAAATTTCTATTCGCACACCCCTAGAAATGACTTAAATGAATACTTATAAGCCTATTTATAAATTAGAGGAAACTTTATTATATCTCATGCTTTAGTCAAATTCAAATATTTACAGTAGGCCTATTTTAAAATAAACACTTAGTTCCATATTTTTGCAATTAATAATTAACCTTTAACACCAAAATATAAGTTTGATACACATACATATTGTGTTTTTTATATGGTATACAAGTTTTTAACCAGGTCTATTTTTGGTGAATTGAGAAATGCTTTGTTCGTAAAAATGAAGATGGAATATATGTAAAATAAAATTTTTGATTTTCTCGTGAACTACTCGACTCGACTCGACTCGATACTCGAGTATTAGGGCTAATTACTCGACTCGACTCGACTCAAAAAAACACTACTCGCCCATCCCTAGAAATTATCTTATCAATAAATGTTTCAAACATGTTTAACCCTAAACACTCTTATCCTAATTTTAAAACCACTTTATCATGGCTATTCAAAGTATCTCGGCGTAAAATAGGTACCAAAGCCTTTATCATAACTGTGATTTTTCTTGACACAATCCTCGTAGTAGTTAACCCTCCTACGCCTATTTTGCCTATTTTTGGCGCATTTGCAAGGTTTTATTAAAACGGATCTGAGAACCTTAAAACAATGTTAATTCTACTGTTCTATATACCATTTTGTTGGAAAATCATGGGCTTCAATATTATACATAAAACATAAGGAACATTTGTTTCAAAAACAAATTTTAGGTAAAAAAAAAATATTTTGGAAAATTTAAAAAAAAAAAAATAAGTTTGCGCTCAATGAAATTGTATAAATTATAGGCCTATAAATATTTGAAAATAGCCACTTTGTTCTAAATTTTATGAGGATTACAAATATATAATAATATAAGGAAGTAGATTTGCAAATAAATAAGTTATGGGCAAAAAACAGATTTCAGTACATAGCGTTTAGCTAAGAATGCATAGCCTAACCATAGCTAGGAATCTGGCTGATAATTTACATCAATATCACTACCTACTTCTTCAGGATCATCAACCAGCCCTTCAAAATCACTTAAATCTTCTTATAATGCACCACGTATATCACTACTTTTGATTTTTAACACTAAAACAATGATAAACGTAATAAAACACATCAGTCATCGGTCCGAGGTTAACCAAGCTGTTTACAAATACGCACGTCAGCTGTCTGCTACAATATTTTCGGAACTAAAATGAATAGCGCTTAGACACAGACCTCCGGAGAAAGCTCTGAATCTAACAAAAAGAACGATACCTAACTCGATCCAGTTCAATCCGATTCAGTCAGTCATAGAGCTTTCGCCGTAAACGATGTTCGTGTGTCGAAAAATCGACAAGTGACATCACACAAAGTGTGTCGTGAGTCGATTTTTTGACAAGTGACGCTCGGAGGGTTAAAGGTTTTGTTTTAATAATGCAGTTCTGAGAAGAAAACCGCAAAAATACGGCCACGTACCGAGGTTTTTGTACTGAGAACCGAGGTACAAAATATTGTACCGTACCAAACCGTACAGACATTAAATTTTCTGTACCGCAGACCCCTAATAATTTCCTGTGTAATTTACAAGAAAAAATTTTGAAGAGGAATTGGAGAATAGTATTTTGTTTTAGGGAACAACACATCGATTGGGCAGATTTAGCAGACACAGACAATATCGTTTTCAACAAAATAAAATATTACACTTAATTTTTATCAGGGATAGACAAGTCTCCGGAGAAAATTTCGGGAAATTTTCTGGAAAATTTAAATCTTATTCTACAAGACAAGATTTTTTTATCGAGATTTTTTGAGACAAGATAAAAAAAAATTTTAAAAACGCCTGGAGAAAGTCAATTCAATACCCGCAATACAGGAGCGTGTTGTAGTTGTGTTTCCTTTGCAAAGGAGTTCTTATTTAATTAATTCTTTACGTGTAAATATTGCTTTAATTGTTTTATCATTTGAGAAGTTTTCTTAAGTTTAAGCAGTGAGAGGCATGTTTTACTAATGTAAACATAGCAAAAACAAGTAAGTATTTTATTTTATACGAATTAATATTGCTTTTATTTTATGATTTATTTTATTTTAAGATAAGTTTAACTCTATTCTAACTGATTGCACCATGTTTCCTAAGCGGAAGCATTATTTTTAATAAGTTAGGCGTAATTAATTAATATACATTTTTTTAGATGTTTAAAAAAAATTAAATATTATTATTATTTTTGTATTGAAACAGTCATCTAAAAATGTTACAAAATCAGGTAAAAATGTCGAACGTCCATTTCCCGTCTCGAAACTACCTTGGTGGTCAAAAAAATTATGTGTGTCAATTAAATTAATATTAATTAATTAAAATACATCACAATAATACATTAAAAAATAAATGGTACGAAATATGTTTGAACAACTAAATGACACCGAATGCTTTACGTACCAATAATGTCTGTAACCTTGTACCTAGCTTCACCCTCATCTTCTATGAGTATTGCCTTGACAGAATTGAGGGCGGAGATTTTGGTGTAGTCTTCAGTTGTGAGGTATAAGTATTTGAAACCCTGAAAATTAAAATCACATGATAAGTTCAGCGTTTTGTTTATGAGATACAAAATACCAAACACTCCTGTATGGAGTTAGTTTTCCAAACGATACTGCAATAATCTCTAGGGGTCTGAGGTGGACCAAAAAGGTTAGAACGGTATGGTTCTGATTTAATTACCGTCATCGGTTCAGTACAACATTTTTCTCGGTACAAATCCGGTTCGGTACAGTCTATACAATAATTAATTACTTTTAGTTCACTGAAAAAACAAAAAAGATATACGTCTAATAACACTAGTAACGGGTAATAGTGGGGTAGTTTACTAGTGTTATTAGACGTATATCTTTATTTTTTTTTCAGGTAATTTAATAACACCTACGAAGCTGATCAAGAAGTTATTATAGTTCACTATCGTAGTCAAAACTTTGTTTTTCTCAAGTCAAACAATAACACTAATGAATCAAAGTATGCACAATAGATTTTCATTAACCCTTTGAGGTCGAATTTTTTTCATTTTTCGGTGAGTATTGGTCACCATATGAGCAGCCGGGAAAATTTTTTGTAAGTAGAGATTGCCATTTTTGAGCAGTCGGGAAAGTGGCGGGCGGCGACCTATTCTCGCCATTCGACCGCAAAGGGTTAAGGTGGTTGCCACAAAATGTGTGCAGATGGCAAAAGCCAGACACGATGTAAGCAATAGTACTTGAAATTAATTATCAAAGGAATATAGAATAAAAATATATTTGTAGTAGTATTATTTGTGTTGTTTCATTATATTCCCTTGTTCCTTTTTTGTTATTTTAGGTTAAGTGAATAAAATATCATCAAATATAGAAAAAATACCTTTTTTTTAAATATAATGAGAGACAGGGACTCAATCAATTTGTAGGTACTGACACATACACAGAAGCCTAGCAGACGACAGTCAGCTAAAGATTACAAGCTTACAACTGCATTAGACAAACAAACTAACTCCCTTGGACAGTACTCAGGAACAATTGTCATAACCCCATTTGTTATAATTCTCATTACATGGAATAACGGAGTTTCAAGTTCAGATATAACTTTTGTCTTTCAACACTACTTTTAATAACACGCTATAAGTTTATAACATGAACAGTATTGTGGAAATTGTACAACATTTTAAATTGATACTATTATAGACCATATAGGTTTTGAAGTATTTTTCTTTTTTTGTCTTTACTTCAGCCCCCAGTCTTTCATTGTCGTTGAATATGATTCGCTTTGTCTTTGTACTCAAAGATACATTGTGTTGTGCCATTGATATGTTTTTAAAAGTTTAAATTAACCCCAAAGTTATTGTATTAGTTGGAATAAAGTTTACCAGTTGTGTTAAATTATCTTGTAGAATTGTTGCTTCATAAATAAACAGGTTTAGTTCTTAAAAATGCTTAACCTAATTTGAAAAGACAAACAGATTTGCACGTGTATTCTCTACTAACATTCCACGGGCGTTGCACATAAAACTAGTTGCGGGTCATTGCAGCTTATGGGAGTGAACAGTGAACAGGTTAGTCTGAAAAACCTATCTCGTAAGACGAGTGTGGCCACGGCCAAACTCTTCCACGTGCGTCGCACGTGAAAACCAATCTCGCTGGTTAAAAATTACAAGTGTGGCCCCGGCCTTAGTAATATAATAGGTATATCTTAAATGTTTTTCTTTTTCTTGACATAATCCTGTTAGGAGTAAAATGTTTCAATAATGTAGGGTGATTTTTAATAGAAAACCATGAATGTTGGATACTATCCATCTCTTTATAGTAATCTCAATATATCAAAATAAAAAATAATTTAATACAATCCTGAGGAAAAAAACAGCAAAAATACTGGTAACCGCACCGATTTTGTAATGAGAATCGAGGTATAAAATCATGTACCATACCGACCTTTAATATTTCTGTAGAGCATACCCCTAATAATCCCTCATTAAGTTAAAACATTGGGTGATTCCTGATTCATAAATGTATTAAAGTTGAATACATAAATAATTGCAAGAAAAATCAATAATTTGGGTTTAAATATTTAAGTATTTATCATAACACAAATTGAATGCATTTAAATTTTCTAAAAAGATGTTCCATGCAACACATTTTGAAAATCATAGGTCTAATGTAAAAAATATAGATTTTATCTTTAACCTATGTTCCCAAGGGTGTTAACAACTAATCAATGTCCCAAAAGTCATTAAATCAAGGTTTATACTAAACAAATGGTTCTGTGCATAAACCTCTTAGGTTGAGAACTCCAATATTAGAACAAATATTACGTTAAATTAGTGATGGGCCGATTCCAGAATTGGTCATTTCCGATACCGATTCCGATTCCAAAACTTTGGTTTTGATTCTTGATTCCGCACTCGTTACATACAAATTAATTTAATAAGGATCAACCATTGACTATACATATACTCTTGAAATGTGTTTAGGGTCAAAAGTCAATCATATTTTACACTATGATCAGCAAGTTATCAAGCTCTTTAGCTGCTCATGAAATGAACATCAAGCCTATCGTGAGTTAGAAAATGTGAGTTATACTAGTGCCATTGACTATATACACTTTGTGTGTATTATATTCAATGTAGGGATGGTCAAGTCTCGAAATTTCGGGAAATTTTCGGGAAATTTTAAATCTCGTTACACGAGACGAGATTTCTTTTTGGCCGAGGTTTTTATCGAGACAATAAAAAAAAAAAAAAAAAAAAAAAAAAAAAAAATTAAAAACGCCTGCAGAAAGTCAATGCAATACCCGCAATACAGGAGCGTGTTGTAGTTGTGTTTCCTTTGCGAAGGCGTTCTTATTTAATTAATTCTTTAAATGTATATATTACTTTAATTATTTTAATAATATGCCTATTACTTTAATAACATTTGAGAAGTTTTGTTAAGTGTAAGCAGTGTGAGGAATGCTTTATTACTACAAAAAGTCAAAACAAGTAACTATTTTATAAAAATTAATATTGCTTTTATTTTATGATTTATTTTATTTTAGGATAAGTTGAACTCTATCCTAACTGATATCACTATGTTTCCTTATCGTAGGCATTTTTAATAAGTTAGGCGTGATTAATAAAAAATTGTATGCTGATGTTTTTTAATAAAAGATTGTAAATATTCTTGCCTATTATCATTATTTTTGTATTTAAACAGTCATCTAACAATGTTACAAAATCAGGTAAAAATTTTGAACGTGCATTTCCCGTTGTGTATGAGAAGGGAAATCCCGTCTCGATCTCGTCTCGAAATTTTATGAGAAATAAAAAATCTCGTCTCGTCTCGTCTCGAACTAAAAATCCAATCTCGTCCATCCCTAATTCAATGCTTGTACCATCTGGCCAATCTGGCAACATCGTCCTCGATCTGACAACATGGTGACAAGTGATAAGCCTCTATAATTTAACTAGTGTTCTACCAGTTGTCAATGTAACACGTAATTCATTGTGAAATGCAAGGGCACACCCCATTTTTGGATTATACAACGATTAAGGATGTGAGCTAATCAACTTGGAATTATTTATATTAGCCGACTTTTGAGTATTCCAAATAAACTAAGATGTGCCACTCTTTACAACCTGCAACTTCAGTCGAGTGCAATGAAGTGAAGTAGGCCTATCGAGGTATTTAGAATCAGATTTAGCCCATTCCTATATAAAATGTACAAAAGAAACATACCTTGTCTGGTTCTTCAGAATCCTCCCAAGCAATCTTGAACAAGTTTTTGACTTCTTCCGCAAGACCTAGAAACACAAGAAATCAATAAGTAAATCAATAATATTTGAAAGGAAGAAACTGTTACTTAGAAAACCAGATAAATGAGAGTCATTCTATTTTATTAGACTTTAAAAGATTTAAGTCCGATTAAATTGATTTGACATTACTTTAATATGCCAAAATTTAACAATCCACATAATACTCCAAATAAAATTTTCAGTACAACTATTAATTGCTTGTAAATTTGTGTTGGTCTAGATATAAACTCTCCGAGCCTCAGGTTACCAACTGTCTAAAAATGTTTAATGTAAAAATAAATAGTCAATTGTAAAATATTATAATTTTTTTAATAACTTTATTTCAAGATAACTGACCTATCCTGGCTCCACTGTTGGCAGCAAAGTATATCCTTGGGACTTTGAGTTTTCTGGCGTATTCTGAGGCGAGGTTGAACACAATATCTTCCTTAGGACCAAAAGATCCGATGAGGAATGTGATGTCGTTAGAAATGAGGATCAAGTCTCGACCCTCAGGGTATTCCGGAGTGTTTAAGGTCAACCTCCAGGCTACCATACCCACCTGGAACACAAAACTGCTTAGCAAAAAGTTTAAAATATAGCATACATTACATTTTACTATAACTCTTAAACGTACTGCAATTTTGTACAATGATACTGGTCTATCGTAAAGAATTAAATTTTCCTTCATCAGCTAAAGACTTATCTTAAGATGTATACTTACATTATTTTCTCCTGGTAACCTCTTTTGCTCCACCAAACTCATCTGTCCATCTTCACCAATTTCAAGAACCAGTTCGATACAATCCATCACAGATATTGGCTTCACGATTGCCTCTACAACAGACAAATTAGTTATAGACCTTCAACAATAACAGTAAATGTATGCTAAGCAAATTGATAAGAGAACACACTTTTTTTTAAGAGGTTGGCAGCCTCTTTCAGTTCTTTTGTGTATGTGTGTGGAACGTATCGCACAAAACAAAGGGTGAGCCGGCAAGTACAAAAATGAGCTGTACTGATAAATTTTATGACACCAGGACGTGAACTCACCACATCACTGTCTTAGTTTCACAGTCTGTCTTGCTACCGCCTGAGCTACTGGCCCAACAAACATTACAAAGATCAGTGCTGGCTAATAGTTACAAATAAGATACTTGTTCAAGAAAGACAATTTACCACTAGGTCTCTCGTCAATGTACTCTTGCCACAATCTCTCAGTGACTTGTCTGAACATGTCTGGCAGATCGTAGACGTAGGTGGTGCCTTGGCTCTGGGCCTGGAATCTCTTCTGTTGTAGATAGTCCTTGGTAAGGTAGGGAGTGGAAACAGGCATACCATGCATAGACCCTTGCTTGGCTCCCATACTCTCCAGACGGATCTGTCCAGATTTAAATTAGGTAAGTGTAATGATTTGTTTTTCTACACTGATTGCTTGAAAAAAATCAGGCTTAGTAACACACACCCTGGCATTTGTACAATGATAGGGATAATGATTTTTTTGCAAATTTCAACTAAAAATAGGAATAAACTGTAACAATCAAAAACAGAATTCCGTTGGAAATTTAATTTTTTTTTACTTGAGGTCTATTAATAAAGTAATACAGTAGAACCCCCCATGTCCGACCTCGGGATTACCGACTCCTTGGGATATCTGACCTCATGTCCGACCGTCTACTTGTTTCCTGGCTGGTAACGCAGTCTGGTCCACAGTTGAATTGCACCAAATATGAAATTTACTAACAGTTATCACTGATGTGTTTACTTGTTGTTGGTTTTTATTTATCAGTATTTTGTTTGTCATTATTACCGTCTGCAAGAATGTTTACTCGAGATTTTTAAAACAAACCCCATCTGCCCGGGAGTAAATATCCTGACCTGTCCCAACCTAGAATAAACCCATCCGTCCCTAAAATTTTAAATTGCCTGGTGGATTTTTGACTGAAATAACTGAAATATTTTCCCGTATTTTTATGCTGATAAATGATCAACAACAGTAAACACTGACCAAGACACATGAAATTATCCTCTTAAAAATCAAATTGATCTTGGCTGGTTGAAATGTACATAACAAGAATATAATAAGATCCAAGAGTAAAACATACTTGATTGACAGCTGTTTTGTTGATTTAAAGAGTATACAATGAAGGATACATAACTCAAACTGAAGCTAAAATAAATTACAAGAAGTTGCTTTGGCAACTAAAATAAGACCCATTTTAAAATTTTAATTTTAAAAACTTTTTTTAAAAGCCCATTGATCAAATCAGCTGGATTCAGTTTCAAACCATCGAAAGCTTTTGACTCTTATCGAAAGATAGAACCGGCAACATTCTAGTTAGTAGGCTTGTTGTTGTACTTACCACACCAGTCTTGGGATCGGTGACTTCCTTGTAAAGACTGATGTCGAGGTAGTATCCGGAGTCATTAGCCAGACAAAGTCGAACATTGGATGTCTTGGCGTTGGGTGAAGGCCTAATGGTCATTCGCAGCTCAGCCTGAAGAACACGCAGTTTCCACAGCCTGGGTCCATACCTCATAACCATGCTGGTGACACTCTCCTCAATCTGTAAGCAAAAACAATAATACATCAACTGTTTCATTAACATTGTCGCAGTTACTGATTGCCGATTGATAATCCCATTTAATTACAAATCCCTGATTGTAATTACTATTATAGGAAACAATTTTGTACTATAATACAAACACTTTTCATTTTCAAGTGGGGTTGGGTATGGATGAATAAAGAGGCATATGGAAAAAGCTAATTCACAGTAAAATTGTAGCATACCATCAGTCAGAAGGCTCCCAAATTGTTGTTTTAAAAACATCACATTTCATTTGAGGAAATCAAAATTGAAGCAGCCCAACGTCAAGTCACGCTTACGCAACCATGGCAACTTGTTAAATGTGAATTAAGGGAAGCCCAAAAAACAATGGAATAGAAAAGAATACTGATTTTTTTTGTTGTTATCTTATACCCTTTTAGGAGAGCTGTTACTATCCTTTATGTATTATTTTACACTGTTTTATGGGTTATCTAATGTTTTATAGGTTTACAAAATAATTGTTTTCAACTACGAGAGGATCAATTTATAATTTAAGCCGTGCATAATATAGATCAATGACCTAAAATTAAATTATAGTGCAATATTGCATTTTAATGTAAAATTGCAAATTATACAGTTCGAATTCTGATATTTCTCCTGGTCCCTAGTATTTCAATGCTATCAATGTTAAAAATAATTGCAGTAAATTCCAAATTATATTTTTGATTAAATGCTTTTTCCTAAAAACATAAAATTATATTTTTGATGATTCAAAGTCCAAACACGGAAAAAGACAATCAAAAGGCAAACCGGACAAGGAATTCCCGAAAAAAAACTTTGAATCATCTACAAGGGAAGTGGTGCAAGTCTAAATATAGCTTCAAGATCGTACCCACCCCTTCCCCCGCCCTTCTTGACTCACTGTGGCCCGAGAGCTCCTTTTGAGGTCATTTCCCAAACCTACTATTGTTTTGCCTTTCTAGTGTTTCTATTCTGCCTTTTTGAAACACTAAATCTATTGCCTACGCAACAGTACAGTAGTAGATTTTTCTACTGTAAAACAGTACTTTAAAACCAAAACTCTAATAAGCGGAACTATTAAACAGTTTGTTGTAAAATTGCCTTCATACATACAACGGCTGTAAACTATTATGGCGACGCAACACCCCTAGGACTAGGAACTGAGAAACCGTTCCATTAGAAAATGGAACCAACACATCACTAGTGTGAATAATATTGCATTTAAGTGGTTTAGTCCTATATGATTACCTTGGATGGATCCATGATAACAGTTGGAACAAAGTTGAGGAAGATATGGTTACAGTCAGTGCGACGGGCGAATGGATGACTGAAGGCAACCTCTAGCTCATCCATTGCCTCCAGGAGAACTCTTTCTCCTTCGTTCTGCAGATACTCGAAACTGGCTTCTTTAGTGATGAGATCTGAGTGTCGGATGATGGAGCGGATGAAGAATCTGAAATCTGTGACAGCCTGTCCCTTAGCAACCTGTAACATCAAATCCAAGTTTGAGTGATATGTCATGGCCTAGAGGGGTTTACCATTGATTATATAATTCACTACGGATGTAAGGCATAATGCATTAGTCTGTAACGTGAACAAGATAGGCAGTGATTTAATTGCCGATTGGCGAGTACAATTAATTACAAGCCGTTGTCACCTTTACATTCATGACGGAAAATTACTTTTTGTTAACCTTTCTTCTCACTTCTTTTTTGTAAGTATTGAGCTTGTTTCAACATTTGAAGTGACAAGATGACTGGCCTAAAGTTTAATTTATTGATAAAAATTCAAAATGTCTAATGTTTTTGCTTTTGCTGAAGAGCGTGAGCCATTCCCATAGTTTTAAGGACTAGTGCTAGACACAACAGATGGTAACTATGTGGTTTTCGTCCACGCACTATGCATTGTTTTGTTTCTTAAGGCTGGTTGTCCTGCAAGTATATAGTCACTGTTTTTTTATAGTGAGAGTAAAACCAAAAAGTCTAAACTTTAAAATGTTATTTGATCAATGTGGTTTATTATTGACAATCACCTTGGCTTTTCCCAGGTAAAGGTACATCTTCCTGTTGGAAGTGGGAAGAGCCTCCAAATCATAAGTCCTCATTCTGTTGAGTTCCAGTTGGAAGGCCATGCCAGGTTCTAGATGTCTGTAGATGCGGTCTTCCACAAAGTTGTCACAGTTACGGAATGTAAACAGCTTAGGGAACTGGCGCCTGTGGGAAAGAATAAACTACTAACCAACTGTAATATTTTACTGTTGTAACTAACTGTGAACTATCAGTATAATACTGTCCAAACAAATTTAGGAGTTAAAATTAAATGAAATGAAATGAAAATGTGCTTTATTGTACAATTTAGAACATAAATACATTTTTACACAGACACATAAAAACAATGGTTAATAACCGTCTGTTTTGTTGGCACTAGAGTTGTTCCATTACTTAAGATTAGAATAGTAGGCCTATTGAGCACTAAAAAGATTTATTAATATTTCTGAAATAAAGACGAGAAAAGATATAAGAGAGAACGAAATATTATTACATAAGTGATAAAAAACAAAAACATACTGATCCTAACTTATCTGTAGACGAGTTTCATATACAATTATTTAGGTTCAAAAGTTAAATTAGGTCACTATCTCCCATCTATACTTCCAAGCGTTTTCTAGATAACTAGCTAAAGCTCGCCAATTCCTCCCATTTATAAATTGATGATATTCTATTTCGTTTAAAAAAGGTTTTCCCAGCCACAAATGTCTTATGTGTTTTAAAATCGGACAAAGTGCAATAAAATGATAGACTGTTTCATTTTCATTTAGGTTACATAAAGAACATCTATAATTTTGATTGAGCCAAGGCTTGTAGTTCAGGTTGATAAGCTCTAATCTTGCTTTAAGAATCCACGAAATGGTACGAGTATTGTTGAGTTTGAGGGGACTCTTATCTCCAAGTTCAAGGTCGAGCGTGAGTAACTGGCTGTGATGGACGGAGGTGCGCGCTTGACCAACACACTCCCCCCTCCACCTACAACGTAGCCCCTCCGATACCGACCTCAACTGTTCGCTAAGCTCCGCTAAATCATCATTTTGAAAATTAATATTTATATTAAATTGTTGTCCCAGAAGCTTCCATTCTTTACTCCAAAATACATTCCTTGAAATAATTTGTTTAGCTAAAATTTTGGGCAATCTTCCCGCTGGTAACGTTAAACATTTCAATAAATAATTTAGATTTACATTCAAAGTATAAAAGTATAACTTTTCACAGCATGTTTCCAAATATAATGCATAATTTGGTGTGTTAAAAGGTAAAGAGAATAATTTTTTGAGAAATATTTTTTGAACAGATTCTATTTGATCGCTTTCTATACATCCCCACACCTGAGCTCCGTAGCAGATTGTAGCTCGCACTACCGCTTCGAAACAACACATTTTAGAACTTAGCGGTACTTTTGGGTTTTTAAATAAAGCACTCCAGACTGAATTAACAGCAAATTGACCTATTCTGGCTTTTTCTTTGAAATGATTACTCCATGAAAGGGAACTTGTAAACGTGATTCCTAAATATTTGTACTCATTTACTACCTCAATAATTTTACCCATATACCACCATTTGTCGCTCGTCTTCAATTTCCCACCATTTCTAAAAACAATAATCTTTGATTTATTTAAATTTACAGTTAAATTCCATGTCCCACAGTAGGTTTCTAAATTTTTTTATCATGTGCTGCAGCCCGGTACTAGTTGGAGACAGAAGAATAATGTCATCAGCGTAAAGCAACATATTTATTTTCGATCCACCAAAATGGCATCCACCTCCTACCGCCTCCGGCAGGTCATTGATAAATAAACTGAATAAAGTCGGTGAGAGATTGCAGCCTTGCCTCAGACCTGTGTTAGTTTCGAAACTGTCAGTTACACCTCCTTCACACCACACACTCGAACTGGTGTTGTTGTAGTAGTTTTTTAATACATTCAGCATGCGCGTCGATAATCCCAAACTTGACAGTTTAAAAAACATTGATTTTCGATCGATTGTATCAAAAGCCGCACTAAAGTCAACAAAAAACGCATAAAGTTTCCCCCCTTTTTGTGATAGACGTAACTTAACCATACAAGCCAGATTAAAAATGTTATCAATGGTGGAGTAACCTTTCCTAAAACCCGCTTGGAATTCCGTTAATATTTCATTTTCTTGAACCCACGTTTGTATTCTATTGTTTATGAGACTTGTGAAAATTTTGGCCACGCTATCAATAAAAGATAATCCACGGTAGTTTTCAACTAAATCGAGGTCTCCTTTTTTGTGTAGAGGGAAAATAATTGAGGTTTTGAAATATTTTGGAACAATTTCACTTTTTAAAATTTTGTTGTAGATCATTAATAAAATAAACAAAAAATTTTCGGGTGCATTTTTGAAAAATTCATAAGGAATTCTATCTGGCCCCGGGGCCTTATCACACTTTAATGTTTTCAAAATATTCTTCAGTTCAGCAAGAGTGAAGTCACTATCTAATCGGCAGTTATCTATAAGCGGTTCCGCATAGCTGATCGCACCTGCTCTGATTGGGGGATTCAATAAATTCCTAAAATGTGTTATCCATCTTTCAGGCGATATTTCTCCCACAACATTACTACCTTTCTTTTTTAATGTGTTCATGGACCGCCAAAAAGATTTACTGTCACATTTTATATTACTTAAATCAAATATAACTTTATCATAATAAGACCTTTTCTTTATAACACACAATGTCTTATAAATATTTGACTGTTTTATATAATCGAGTTTGACTATCTTTGAATTTGTTTTCCTATATAGGTTTTAGCCTGAACATTCTTTTTCTTTCAGCTAAGCATTTGTAGTCAAACCATGGCTGCTTATTTCCTACTTTATTTTTTCCTACGACATTGTTTTGTTTGTGTTCAGACGACCTTAAGATACACTCCATTAACTCATTCACATTGTCCTGGTTGTTATTTGAGATTTTAACTTGCACTAAGTTCAGCTTAATACGTTCATTGTAATTTAAACAATCATTGGTGGACCATTTTAATTTAGGTAATAAAGGTAATAGCTTCCCTTCATTCTGTCCCTCTGCACCTGGGCTCACAGCAATTAAACTAACTTCACAAGGGAGATGGTCAGACCCCGGGTATGGCACAACTTTAAAATCACTAACCATGGATAAACAGTTTACAGATACCAATGCATAATCAATAACTGAAGAACCCACTGACCCTATAAACGTGTACTCCCCGTCCTTATCACTTCTGGATCTCCCATTCAAAATAATAAATCCCATGTTGTCCATAACATCTAGAATCTTACGCCCTCTCACATTAACTGTCTTATCTTAGGAGTTAACAAAGAGTTGATTATTTCCATAAGCTTCATTGGGATTCATTTCTCCACAAGTGGGCAGACAAAGTAAGGGAAACTTAATTTCAATCACAATAAAATAAGTATGATCATTTCTTTGTACAGTGACACAGATTATGAAATCATTATTTACATACAGAATAAATATTTAAGAGACAGGAGAACAAATATTTGTTTGTCCTACATAACACTACTCAAAAGGCAATCGTGTACTAATAGAACACGGAAAATTAAAATAAAACCGAAACTATAACCTATTTATAACCGAATATAACCTATTTAAATAATAGGTTGTAAATCATATACATTTGATAAGAATTCCAAAGTGAAATTACTTGTTTAGAGCGAGGAATGTAATTCTTCTGATTGATCTTTGCTTGAGCTCCTCCAAATGTTGGGCACAGAAATCTCCAAACATCTTGGATAGTTTAGAGTCCTCCATGTCTCCATTGTCCTTGACTGCAATGCACAGGATATGGATTGGTTCAACCTGCAGACAAGAGAGCAACCACACTTGTATAACTTGATCTACCTATGAGAGCAACACTCAGGTTCTACTGTACAACCAGGCAGTTAATTCATTTACTTATTTATTGAGATTCGGATATCAATTGGAAAATGTCAGGATGCAACAATTTTCTGATAAGATTTCAACCGAGGGCTTTTATTACAGGAGTAAACATTGGAAAAACTGCTTTTATTTGAGAGGGAGATATTAGACCATGAATTCCCAAGATAATATTGCAAATATATTGCAGTTATATACTAAAAAGTAAAAAGAAAACCCAAATAAAATGTGTTTGTAAAAGCATGTTAGGGCTAAATTCCTTTTAGTAATATCAATATCTGTCAATAAAATATAGTTAAGACGTCAATAGTTAGGATGTCACGTAAAGTGTAAGGGTTTTTACAGTGAAACAAACCAAATATTTCTTGCTAGTACGCAAAATTAATTTAATAAAAGATATTTACAAATGATTAAACAATGCAATCAACTCAAATCTAAACTTAGGCAACAGGAAAGAAGGTAGCTGATGGACATATGGTAACAAATGGTTAAGTTGATGTCAGATCTGGGAGGTTTTACAGCATGCTTACGAGAGTTTGTTGTTACAATAAAAATAATGTTCAATAACATTTTCAGATTAATATGTAGCCCTCATATTTTACTCCTTTTCCTCAATTTTGTGTAAAGTGTTTGTATTTTAATAATATTTTTTCTCACAATTATTGTTTCTAAAAGCGTTGAAAATTGTAAGGCAATATAAATATCATGATAAAAATTGTGTTGACTCTAATACCATTCGACAACAATGGTGTAGATGAAGAACAATTGATTATTGTTTTATGTTTTTAATATTGTCATGTACCTGGGCAGTAAAGATATATGACTTAAGACGGGTTTTTTCAAGCTAAACTATAACTTACTCCAATTAATTAACCTAATAAAGGATCCAAACAAAATGCTAATAAAGTGATTTTCTGTTGTGTAAAAGTGTTATTTAATGCTACACTAAACTATTGTTAAACACTTTTCATATTCAGTAAGTTTCAATTAATATGGGAGATAATCTTAAATATTACATAGAAACATCTATTTATGAGACAGAGAAAACTGTTGCATCCATCACAATATAAATGCCTAACTCCTAACTAACCCTAACAGTGAGTAACATAGACTACATTAATCCAGATATCTACCTTACTACTTTGCTGCGGGACTGAAGAAATGCCAGGGAGTGTCTCTCTGATAATATTGTTGTTTGGCTCTTCATTTTGTTGAATCATCGGTATTAAAAGCTTAGACACCCGCAGTTTTCCTTTTTTGTTTAAATGGATTCCGTTCTTGGCAAAGTGCCTTCGCTTGAGTATATCTAGATCTAGGACTCTGACGTTGGGGAGTCTCTCACTCAACTCTTTTAAATAGGCATTCAAGAGGCGAATGTTGCAGTTGAGGGGATCGTCTTCTTTCAGATCTACTCTGGTCGGGACAGTCACAACTATTGTGTCACTCTTGGGGAAACTAGTCACAATGTGTTCCATCTTCTCAAACAGAGATTTGAACTGACCGAGTCTTGTGGCATCTGCCCCAGCGATAATGACGATCGTATCGGCCTCTGATTTGTCTCTGCTTGTCGTGTCTTTTACGACTTCAAAAATCCCAGCCCCGGCTTTTACGACTCCACTCACTTTGTGTTTCGGTCCTAATCTATCACTCAATATAAGAGACACTCCTCTACCTAGACTATCGCTCAGAACGAGGGTATTTTTGACAATGTATTGTTTTACAATTTTCCCGTCCTGTGTGACGACTCCTGACAGATGTGCAATATTTTGTGCCAAATCATGTGATTCCATTATCAAATCAGATCCGTGAGAATGTCCCTTCAAAATATTGCAATGATTGATGGGCTAAGGCTGAGCAGATACCAGAGAAATACAAATGTGTCCATTTACTTATGAAATATGAATCTACAGAAAGGGACCCACTCGATTGAGTTGTTAATTGAAAAAAAAATCGGCAAATACTGTTAAACCAGATGGCAACACAGTACGCCTTGGGTCCAGTATCGACTCAGCCTACTGATTTTTGGACTTCTATTTTGAAGTAATGGACAGCCAATTTGAACCGAGATTCATACTCCTTAAGTATTACAATATATAAAAACTATGGCTATGTTTTCATTGTAAAATACATGTATAATTACTAACAATATATGACGGTTTTATAAGTTGAAAATTGCGTACCTAATTAATGGTAGGTAGTTTTTTTAAGACTAACTAGTGCGATTAGGTTCGTAATGAAACAAAAGGAGTAAATTCACATTTATAATTATTTAGGATATTGCCAAAGAACAACAGTTCCAATTGTTGAATAGAAAATATTTCAATGCAGATGGTTTGGTTGAATCTTGAAAGAGTAATTGAGTTGTAAGAAAAAATGTGTAATGAAGGAAAACAGTGCTCAAGAACTTGTATTACTGTATATCCCACAACTAGAATAATAGTAGGGCTTAACTGTTGACTGGATTCTCAAGCAATGTACAAACAAATTGCATACTTGCTATGAGAGTCTAGAAAATGTTATTCAAGCAAAGAAGTATTTGAGTTATACAAGTAAGAATGTTGATTATTATGTTCCTGGTCTTAATTTCATAGTAACTTTGCATTCAGCTTATTAATATTATTTTTCTTTTCTTTTCTTCCCCGACACATTTAACATGAGGAATGATATGTTATATATTTATATACAACACACACAGTTTAATCACTAATGTGGTTAAAACATTTTTGATCGTTAAAAATTAAAATATCATGTTCTGCATGATCAACTGAATGTCTGGGAAATTCTAGGCCATAATGTTAATTATTGGAAAACATCCAGTAAGATTACCAATAACTTAGTTGGTTTTTCTTTTAATTTTTAGGTGATTTTTAAGGATAATTTAAAAATTTGCTATCATGTACAGCTTCAGCTAATAGTACTAAATACATGTCTACAAAAAAGACAATTCTTTAATAATGGTAAAAAATGTTTTAAGAGAAGTTACACGAGTTCTATTTGTTTTATTTTTGTTACTATTACAACAAAAACACTATTATTACAACTAAAACGTAAGAAAAAGCTTATACATAGGTTATAGTACAAACAAGAGGAAACTTACTTTTATCATGACTCGATTCTCTGTACCTTAAATACAATCATAAAGTAAATATTTTTTTATTAAAATTGATTGCATAACAAACACAAGCAGATACAGATTTAAATTTTTGTAACAATTTAACGAGCAATCACTGAATCTAAATCATAAACAAGGAATAATAAAAATAAAAATAGCTTTCCTGTTTGAAATTTTGTTTTGAAAAAAAAACTGTAGGTAGTTAAACTAAAAGTTGGACATGACTTACCTGGATGTTTTCGTCTACTGCTGGCTTAACATCAGCTGAGAGTGAAACATTGATGGACGTACTCATGTTCTGAGATTCACTTCCACTTTCAACAGCTTCTAGAATCTTTGGCGATACGACACTTGGGTTTGCAAAGTCCTGCAAGAAATAAACATTTTTCACAGCTCTGTTGTTAACTATCCAATTAATTGATTGTTTAATTCATATTTAACATCTACATAAAAACTGTAGAGGTATATTTAAACAAATGAAACCCCATTTTAGGTTAAATTAGGTTATTTTCAAACTTAAAATAGTATAAAAGTATGTCACAACAAATCACTCAAACTAGTACATCATTCAATGAATAAAATAATCTATAACCAAAATACTTTTCATTTATTACATATCTATAAATTTGAGTTATAGGCTAGCTGAATTTAATTTATATAGAATTGTTTGAAAAGGGAGAAAATTTCAGCTGGCTTACCTGAGAAAATTAGAGACCTAGGGCAAAAGTAAAAAAACAAAACATTACACTAATATAAAAAATAAATACCGGTGTTAAGTTTTTTTTTATCTATTAGCCTCTGGACTAATTTTCTTAGGTACGCTAGCTGAACTCTAAACTAGGGATGGACGGGTCCCGAAATTTCGGGAATTTTTCGGGAAAAAAATATTCCCGATTATCGGGACGGGATTACATTTGATTCGGGAATTTTTCGGGACGGGATTTGGTCTGATCGCCGGCGATTTTGCCGCTTCGCGAGTGCCGATGACGCCGCTATTGCGAGCGATAGGTCCGCGAACGCAGGAGACGAAGTCGTTTCGACGGTTGCGCCGTGACCGCGGAGTCATAACAACGATTGTGCCGTGACCGCGGAGTCATACCGACGATCACGCCGTGACCACGGAGTCATACCGACGATCACGCCGTGACCACGGAGTCATACCGACGATCGCGCCGTGACCGCGGAGTCATACCGACGATCGCGCCATGACCGCAGAGTCATACCGACGATCACGCCGTGACCGCGGAGTCATACCGACGATCACCCCGTGACCGCGGAGTCATACCGACGATCACCCCGTGACCGCGGTGTCATACCGACGATCATGCCGTGACCCCGGAGTCATACCGACGATCGCGCCGTGACCGCGGAGTCATACCGACGATCGCGCCGTGACCGCGGAGTCATACCGACGATCACGCCGTGACCGCGGAGTCATACCGACGATCACGCCGTGACCGCGGAGTCATACCGACGATCACGCCGTGACCGGGGAGTTATACCGACGATCGCGCCGTGACCACGGAGTCTTACCGACGATCGCGCCGTGACCGTGAGTCATACCGACGATCACGCCGTGGCCGTGAGTCATACCGACGATCGCGCCGTGGCCGTGAGTCATACCGACGATCGCGCCGTGGCCGTGAGTCATACCGACGATCGGGCCGTGGCCGTGAGTCATACCGACGATCGCGCCGTGGCCGTGAGTCATACTGACGATCATGCCGTGACCGTGAGTCATACCGACGATCGCGCCGTGGCCGTGAGTCATACCGACGATCACGCCGTGACCGCGGAGTCATACCGACGATCGCGCCGTGACCGTGAGTCATACCGCGAGTCACAAGTTTCTGTAGGTACCTGAAAAATTGTTACCCATTTTTTGGTTTTATAGATCAGTGCCACAAACGGGAAAGATTGATTTCGTATGCCTTTTTTGGTAACTGCAATACTCAAGACTTTCTTTTTATGCACAGAAAAAAATCCCGTCCCGTCCCGAAAATCGGGAAGGAAATAAAAATCCTGTCCCGTCCCGTCCCGAACTAAAAATTCAATCCCGTCCATCCCTACTCTAAACATTTAAAAATTATTTATAACCAGCAACTTGGTTTTTCCTTAAAATGTAACTATTTATGATATCTGGTTTGTTGTTGTAGAATTTCCCGTATACAGAGTAGATGCTGGCTAAAACCACACAATACAAATTCACTAGTATTTTTCTCTAGATGAATATCATACCTCAAGTAGATCTAGGATTTCATCAGCGTAGTTTTCAAACTGTTGGAAAGATTCAAATGCTGCCATGCAGCCAGTTCTCTGGAAGCTGTGCAGAATGGTTGGTCCTAGAGTCTCCAGGGTATCTGCACTTCCAGCCAAAGCCACAATGTTCTCTTTCAATGCATCAGAGTGCTTTTGTCTATAACGATAATTATAGTCACTATTTACTGACAAAGGTGCAATAAACTAAATTAATTTACAAGAATTATACCCAAACAAAATCGTAAATCAACTTAATTTGCAATGCTTGTCAAAGGGTGATAAACAAAAATAAGAATGATCAGCAAAATTGGTAATTATGACAAATTGACTATAGTGCATTTACAAACTAGGGGTGGGCGAGTACTCGACCTTCGAGTAATTACTCGAGTTTTTTCAAATACTCGACCTCGAGTCGAGTAGTAATTACTACTCGAAAAGTCGAGTCGAGTAGTTATAAATATTGCCACTTCACGATTTTCTACACCCATATTTAATAAATTATATTTTGTTTTGTGTTGATGCTTTATTTAATCCCCATTCCTACAAAAACAACTATCTAACCTCATATAGGTTAGACCAGCGTAAACCAAATGTTCAACAAACACCCATCGTCATTCAGCAGAGCTAGCAAGAGGACTACTAACAGAAACAGACTTTCACTATCCTACAACAGTCAACAATACGTCTCGATAACGATACAGTAAGTTGAAATAAAGCATTGAATGAATCTATCGAATTGCAATAGTCGATAGTCAACAAGGGATTCTCGAGACTAGTATAACAATGGCAGACGATTCTTGAAGATATTATAAAGTACAGTATCAGATTTAGTTTGAACTGCCATAAAAATATTTTAAACCAAAATATAGAAATAACAAAATATTTTATACCAAAATATAGAAATACAACAAATAAAAATAACCTGTTGTAGCATAATATTTTTTCACATTAATCGGTATTGGTGTTTAGTTTTACAAACCGATAAGTTACTACAAGGAACATCGATGCATCTGAATGACGCAATCTCATTGGGTCTTGGCAGAAAGAAAGAAAAGATCAGTTCCACTTTAAACTCAGTGTTGCCAGATGGACGATAATTGTTGTACTTTTACAACTGTGGTATTGGCGTAAACAAACTATAAGTATAATTTATTTTCTAATCAGTTTACATAAACATGATTAAAATTAGTCAAACTATAAATTTTTTTACGAAATAAAAGCTATAGCTAGCAATTTTGTGATAATTTTACCGACATTCACCATAATGGTGTAATGATAAATATGGCAACGTCAGCCCTGCAAAACAGCTGTTTGATGGGAAAACAAAGCAGAAGCAGAATGAGCAGACTGACTAGAGAGGAGAGAGAGAGAGAGCAGATATGGTGACAGCTGGGCTGGCGTAACAACAAAACAATGGATTGGAGTGATTGAAGTTATGTCAATTGTCTTGTCAGTTTTGAATGTTTTTACTTTCAAGTGAATTTGTAACTTAAAATAAAATGGATTTTGTTAGTGCAAGTTTAATAGAAAGTAAAATAAACATATTCTGTTTGTGATTTTGATTGTGCAATTTTCAATCTGGTGGCAGAAACATGACAACGACAGTTTGAATTGTAACTTAACCTAGAAAATGTGAGTTTATAAAGAAAGGCCAAATAGGCTATACCGGGCTACAGTGAAATGTGTTTTATTTTAAATTAAGTGTTTAATGTGGGATTTTATTTCGAGATAATAGGCCTACTATGTTTTTGTTTGATATTTTCAGTCTGTCAGAGACAGTGACTTGATCATTTTTATAAATGTATACTGAGTGAAGAGGATAGCCCTAGTACCCATAACCTTCAAACTTAAGAGAGATGAAGTGCTTATCCAATAGTGATTATTTTTAAATACCTAATTGCATATTGATGTTTTTAACTTGTGATACAATATGTAGTTTGATATTAGTTTTCTGTTTTATAAATAAATTCATTTTTATAAATTCTGTTTCTTATTTGAATAGAAATTAATTCTTAAAGTTACCTTATTAAGTTAGTTATTTAGGTTGATTATCATGTTAGTGAGGAGGAATTAAAGGCAAGGAAAAATAAAACACACAAGAACAAGTGATGTGTAGGCCTAAATAATTTAATGCTGCAACCAACAAGTAGTCTAGGCCAAATTTTGTATTAGGCCTAAGGTAGGAGGTACTAATAATTAGTAACCATATAACTTAGAAAATTTGGTATAAGTACTTAAACTACCTATTTAGGCCTAGGCAGGGTTTAGGCTAGGATGAAATTTGTTTCAGCAAAATGCTGCAAACTCTCTGCAAAGACAAAAACTAAGTTAGGCTAACTTAACTGTAGAAAAAATATTATTCAATAACTTAGGCATTTAAAACAAAAAATTCCAGTAGGCTAATATTACATTTGTTTGAACGTTACATATTTAAATTTTATTTGTAGAAAATTTGCCATAGACCTAGCCTGCAAAACAATGTAAGTTAAACTTAGCATTTTTAAGTTGTGAAAAGCAAGATGCTAAAAATACTACCGCAGCTTAAACCCTGGGCCTAGGCCTACTTAACGCGCAACTACTCGACTCGACTCGATACTCGAGTTTTTACTCAAATACTCGACTCGACTCGACTCGAATTGAAAAATCACTACTCGCCCACCCCTATTACAAACCAACTTAAAATGTCTCGTAAATGTGATTTAAACAAGTGTAAATTCAGAAAAGTTCTTAACAAAATGTTGTGTTCACTATTGTCAACATCAAAGTAAACCTGTTAAACGAGCCAACGTGTTTCTTAGTAAAAGTATCGATAAATATCAGAGTAAATTTCACTACAGTACTCCCATAGTTAGGATAGTGACTTTTGAAGTGTTTGAGTCATAGAAGAGAAGAAAAAGAGTTATTGCAATATGCCATTGACTATACACAGAATAGACTTCCCAAGTAATGTAAAAATTTGAAGCCAAGAAAATAGATGTTCAGGACCATCTTACTAGAAGGTACTAGTGTATCGAGTTAAATATTAATTGAAATCAATGCGTTATCATAGCAAACAGGTGATTGATTTATCATTTGACACAGAATATTGTCATTAGCTGGTAGACCATCTCAACAGATTGCACAAAGTTTTTTGGGATTCACATTTTACATTATATGGGAAATCTATTTTAAGTATAGTCAATGTATATGCCTACCAAAAACTTATTAAAAATTTAATACCAATCTTTATTAAAATTTGAAACATTTTGATTTGATACTATGCCAAATGGTTTTAATTTAGTAGATATGAAAACACTAATTACTGTTTAAGAAGTAGGAAAGGTTATATTATGACCGGCTCAACATAATGGTTAGGGAAAGGCAATAGTGAAAGCAAAAAGGCTACGAAGAAACCTTTATTATAAGTTTTTGAAAGAGAATATGTATGTCTTGCACTAAGTAGTTAAATATATTAATAAAAAGGTGTGTAAAAAAATACCAACCTATTCGGATGAGAGCTCGGTAGTAGGAACTGGAAATGTATAAGAGGAATTTCTCCTGACAGTTCTAGATGTTGTAGACATGTCAAGTCGTATGAGATGTAGACCCTCCGAACATAAACCTATGAGTAAAAAATGGTCTTATGCTGAGAAAAATACTCGTAATAAAGTAATTAAAAACATTTAAACATTCTATGTTAATTCAGTTACCACAGTTATTACACCACTAAAATGTGGATGGGAAAAGTCCATCAACTCAACCTTAAGCACTATTACTTTCCAACCACACTTTGCATATGTAACTTAAAATATCTTTGTTTAACATGTAAGTATGTAATATCTAAATATCTTTACTTGAAAATTAATTTCTTTACCTCAAGAGCAGCGTTACAGACAGCGCGGTTTGTGTGGTAGAAGAAATCATGCAGGATGTCAAAGATAGAAGTCTCGGATTGAATGAGTTTTTGGAGATTCTCTGGATGGAAGTCATGTCCGTACATGTCTACGGCTGAGAGGAAGATAGATTCCATCTGGTTGTGCCTTAACTCGTAGGCCGGTTGGTGGGCGGCAATAAGTACCTGTCAAAAAAAAATATTAAAAATAAATGCTTGTGAAAAACTAGTTTTATAAAACAAATTTTGCAATAGGATATTTTCAGTTAAAAACATATTAAGTAAAAAATTGTCTAAACTTAACTGAAAGTAAAACCAGCTGTGTTTTGTGCTCTGTCTTAAAATATAAGCCTAACAGAGTCAAAAAGCTAATTGGATTCCGAAAAATTAGAAATGAATGTTAAGAGAGTTATTTTACCTGTCTGGCACGGAGGGCCACTCGGGAGTGTTCACTGCGGTTGAGAGATGTCAACTCATTGAGAGTAGCAGCGAGCTCATCAGTCAGGCCCGGCTCATTAGACCACAGATGATCTATCAGCATTGTTACCAACATGTTCTTTTTGGCTACCTGAATAATAAGAAGAGGAAAGTTATGTTATTGTATGAGGGGAATATTGATATGTAAATTTCAATTCATAAGCATAAGAAATCAAAAACTTGTTTATTGTTGTAATATTACATCTAGACTTTCCTAATGTTGGTTTATGTTTCAGTGCGTTTCTTTTACAACTCATAGTATACCCCAGATTTACTTTGTTATGCATTTGAAAATGTTTATGAACCCCTAAAAAATAACTGTACATTTTATTTTGTAAACATATAAAAAAGTAACGATTATTTATTACTGTTTAAAACTAATCCTCAAGCCATTATGATGTACGAAAATAGGCTTCATAGAGGTATTCAAAGTTACAGCTTACCTGAGAGTGTGAGAAGATGATGGAAGCTACGGCAGAAGCATCATCTTTGTACTTCTCTTGAACGGCTGCAACACACTTGTCGTAGCTTCCTGGAATCAAAGGATCGTAATGTTAGTAGACTATTGGAGGAAACCTCCATGTAAAATATCCAACCTCATAACAAACTAACCATTGCCAGAGATGTCAATGAAGGCCACAGAAACTTTTCAAATTTATGTAACATTCTGGGGTTTTGTGTAAAATAGTTGGACATTTTTGTTAAAATAGACTGTTGTTAACTAAACTAAACTTACTTTACAACTGTATTTATGTTATTCTTTGATTTAAAACTTGGGTTTTTAAGTTGTAATTAGTGTGTATTTAAGTCAATTTATTGTGATTTTTTTATTCATACAAAACATATAAACTTGTGTGTTACATGAACAAGTGATTTTTTTATTGTTTTTCATTTTCACGCAGTTTATTTTGTTTCGTTTGTTTCATTCAATTTTGGGTTTTATTTTAGATTTCAAGGTGTCAAATTCATAATTATTATTCACATTCACTTACAAAAAAAGTATTGGCAATTAAGATGATTACTGATTTAAAATAATAAATTACGCTGAATCATTATTTTTCTGCTAACTATATCAACTCAACATCATCGTCATCGTAAGATCATAGATTGTTGGATCATTAAGACATCTAAAAATAAACCTGGTATTTTAACTCGTTGTTATTTTTAGACACCATTTCACCTATGCATATTGGTAAAGAGAACTATTTGATATTAAGGATACGCCATCATTATCAACAGAAAAATATAACTACTGGAAATATTAACAAATATTGAGAGGGAAGTATTGAGCTACCAAACACAGTTGCTATTTGGTACTGGTAGCGTGTTTGGCCCACCGTATTGGTACTTCACTGTATTTAGATCATCAGTCTATGGTCTATGCTACGGAGCTACTAACCTTGCTGGAACTGACTCTCCACCTCGTAATACTGCCTCAACAACTCGTGGACTGCAGATTTCATGCGTCCTCTGATACCATTCCTGTACCTCTGCACCAGCTGAATGATTCCCTGAGTAGTCAGGAAGAAGCCATCCCTTTCTGTTCTCTTCTGGAGGGTCGCAGCATGCCTGAAAATTAAGATTAATCCATAAAAATATGCCTTAATACTAGAATAAATAGGTCAACTAATTGGTTTACAAGAAAATCCAATTGAGGTACAGTAGAATTTTAATCAATTAGGACCCTAAATTCAGATAATCAAAAATTCGGATAGTTGGATTTTTACCGAAATTTTTTGGTATTTGACAGGAAATAGGCAAAGTCAAGCTGAACTCTTAGAATTGCTATTGCAGAACACATTTTGTGTTCAAACAATTCAAGCTGTTGCCGAGACTGAGGAGGATTATGATTTTTTGTGACCACAGGAGACGAAGATGATGTCCACACAAACGCGGGTGGTATTCAAGATTTTACCGCAATCATGGAATAGCATGATGATGTTTTCATGATCTCAGGAGATGATGATGTCTAAAAAACCGCTTGAAGGTGTTCAGGATTTTGCTGTGATCACAAAAGATAATAACCATGCACATCTTGTTACTGTAGTTTTAGGTTTTAAAACGGTTTCTTTAGTGATTCAAATAATCAGCGATTTGGATAGTTGGAGTTCGGATAATTAGAGTTCTAATGTAATATTTTAGAAGTAAGTATTTAAGCGTGATTAATGTATTGTTTGTTGAAGATCAAGAGCTTTAAATGTTTTGAATACAAGACCTATACATTGATTGTATTAACACAATTAAGTGTTTACTCTAAAAACATTGCTAAAACTATTGTTTATAAAAATTAATTATCAAATTTTAGAACTTAATAAAAAAGGATACAACATATGGAGCTGCTACTGTTACTCATTAAAATAGTCTTATACACAAACCCAGCTCAAGTACAACAACTCAAGTTTGTCGAGTAGCAAAACCTTTGAATAATACTACTTTGAAGCAAAATATCTAGAGCTAGAGCTAAAAATAACAAAACTTTAATAGCTATAGATGTTTAAATATAGTTACCCGTCAATGACACTAGCAATTTGTTGACTTGGGAACTGTGTGAGTACGGAGGTGATGTTGCGTTCGTATTGGTTCATCAACTTGCGTATCTTCTTCTCTACAGAGATGGGAATACGGCCAGACATGGATGCAATGACTTCCTGTAGCTCAAGCAATGGTAGAGTCGGATCTCTCAACGAGCTCATGTACTTCTCTATCACTTCACGGAGACGGGCAAGGTTGTAAGGCTCAGGCAGGCAATACCCTGGTCAAAACATTCAGGTTACATCCAAGCATGAAGGATTTGCTACCATGTTTTGCATTGATTTCAGTTTACTCCAATGCACTTTTTGTAGTGCTGAAAGGTAAAATTAAAAATGTTAAAACCAAATGACATTCGACTGACCAGCCAATATGTTCTCCAGCATTGTGCGGTAGCTGTTGTGGACATGGTTGAGCTTGTCACCCATGATGGGTGTGGAGACGTCCAACTCAGGGAATTGTCCCTTGTAGTCGACTGCCCGGGTGACCAAGGACGGGTCATCTAACTCCAGGTGACCCATGAGAGTGCCAGCATCCAACACTGCTCCGGGTCTCTTGGTGTAGAACACTGAACCGGACTCATTGGCTGTCAGCGTCATCACCATTTTCATTACCTAATGACAAAAATTTTTTGATGTTTGGAGTTGTATTCTAAATACGTTGAATTAGGCTAAACAACTATATGTTCTTAGTTCTCTATGTGGTTTTCCTTAGTGATTTTTCAGCTTTGACTGTATGAGTGTAATAATTTTATCTTAGATACTTTCTCACCTGAGGCGAGATAAGATTCCAGATCCCAAAACATCATAAAACCTTTAATACTAATCCTGATGTAAAATGTATGCAATTTTTAATTTTTAATATTAGCTAGAATAACATAAACTTACTGTCACAAAACTAAACCTCAAACAAAGAACCAGGCCTATATTAGAAAATTCAAATTTTTATTTAGGGAGACTAGATTCTATAGTCATTAAGTGTTTGTATTGAAATGACTGTAAATATAAAAAATTCAAATGAAAAAAAAAACATACTTGTAGCCAATATTCTATGCTATTAAATATTTTTCAATTGAGAAAATGACAAAGAAGAGAGGAACGACAACATGTGTCTGTTTCTATCTCTACCTTTCCAAATCCTATAATCACACAATATTGCAAGCAAGCACTTGTCCTGAAACCCCTCTAAAACATCCCATATGTAATATATGAAAGGATGAGATTGAAAAAATTTGTACTTTCTCTGTCAGAATAGGCCTACTTTTTCATCAGTTTTTTTATTTTTTTTTCTGGATGGTCATAATCTCCACCTTACTCATTTCTCAAGTTTTTTTGTGTGCATATTACCAATTTTTCCCCCAAACTCGTAAATCTACAGTTATCTCCCTCATTTCCATATTAAATGCTTTTTACCTTAACAAATAAATTAATTCTTTAATTTAAGATTAAGCTCAGGATCTAGTGCTCTAATCATTGTTTTGCCTCTTCTAGTATTTCGCTGTGGGCTACAGAATCCAAGGAGTGCATATTGGCTATGATTAATTATTATGATACATCCTTGTCTATATCTAACCTCAATTTCAGCGTAGGCTTGTCCTTTGTTGACATGTCCTCCATCTTCTACCAGGAAGTTGAGCAGTTTACCAGCAGAGGGAGACCTCAGGAGAGAAGGGTCATTTTCCTTCTCAAAGATGCAGGTCTGGTTTCCGATAACCACTCGGTACCGATCCACTTCCTCCCTCATGTATGTTGTAAAACTGGCTCCATCCACTGACAGCAAAATACCTAAAAAGCAAGATAGGAAACTTATAAAACTTATAAATTCGGATAAAGTTAAACACTCCATGTTTGGTGAGTTGGCGGATCAGTGGGTAGCACAACGGACTTTGGATCCATGACAGCGATGTTGTGGGTTTGATCCCTGGTACCTGCTACAGTTCAACTCTTGTACTGTACTAATGTAGTTCACCCCTGTTCCACACACAGCCCGAGTCCTATGGGGACAGCCAAATCCTTCAGAAAGAACTAGATAACTTAAGAATCCTAAAATTGTATGAAAACATTTTCTAACATTTATCCTCTTATCACTACTTTCTTTCTATTAGTTAAATTATTAGCGAATTTCCCTATAGGGAAGTATTATCGAATTTCCCTATGGGGAAGTAGCTATTACCGTAGGTGGCACGGTAAGACTTAGACCCGGGACCGATTTACTTTTTCATTTAGATGTCCCCAGAGGCCAAAAACACCATTTGTTCAAATTTGTATGTATATACTAATTACACATACTAACAAAATTAACAGCTGTATTTATTCATAACATAATATTTTTGTTTGAAATTAGGTTAACACACTTGAAAATGTCCTTAGAGACGAAACATGCTGTGTTTTATTAAATAAAAAAGAATATAAAAAAAGGGTAGTCATGTTATTTTACATATTATTTATTAATATATATATATATAGATTTATATATATATATATATATATACGTCCGTGAACGCGATAACTTGAGTAATTTTTGTCCGATTTTGATGAAATTTGGTTTAAAGGTGTAAAGCGGGATAAACTTGAATGAGTTCGCGAACCAGCATGATCGTACCATGGGAACGGGGCTTTACGGGGGGGTTTTATGGGGTAAAAATTGGTTTTTCTCACTTTTGACCCTCAAAAAACAAAATTTCCCAATTTCTCTTTGGACCTTTATAATGAGCTTAAAAAAACAAATAATTTAGTATATAAAAATATTTTTGTTCAATTATTGGTAACGGAGAAAATTTAAAAAATTGTAAATTTAAAATTCCCATGTTATTCTTATGGAGAATATTGTAAAATGTTGCAGTTTGCTTGTTTATGGATATTTGATCAAACTTATTTATTTTATACTAAGCTATCAATAACTCACTAAAAACACACATTATTAGTTTCCTTGTAGCAGCAAACCTAGGTACTCGTTCAACCTAATGTTATTTAAATATATTTAATTTAAAATCAATTCAGACAAATGGAAATTCGCTTAGTCGACAGGTTTGCTGCGGCGGGGGTATTAATTATTTATTACTGTTATAAAGTAAATAACTAAATATTGTTTGGTATGATAAGAACATTTTTTATTTAATTTTAAGAACAAAGTAAAAGGAGACAAAGACAAATGTAGGCCTAAAAAATGCAGAATAATGACCTTCTCGCTCTCACTCTCGCCACCAACTATACCAAGGCGTAGTTTGAGTTCCAATCTAGGCACATGCAGAGGTTTAATTTCCATCAGTGATTTTCTACCCAGCATGTATTTTTCTTATTTATCAAGAGTGTTATCATTTACTATTGGATACTGAAGCAGTAATTCCATCCCATCTATATGGAACAGCTGTCACCAATTTTTGATTGAAAAAGAATTTAGTTGTGTGATCCCGTCACAGAATGTGTTAGAGGCTAAAGTTTGATTTCCTACCTTATTTGTTGTTGCTGACCAAGTTGATTGATCATTACAGTTGCTATAGCTCACAATTAGTCATTCTATTAGTTTATTAGTTTAACTTGGTAAAAAGGTTCTTGTATTTGACAGAAATTAGTAATTTAGATTAGTACAATCTGTTATTGGCTCACATCATCTACGACGGTTTTGGTAAAAAATTTAGCGACAAATTTAACATGGAGATGGAATGTCTAGTTGTATTAATAGTCAAAGGTGTTATATATTATATTGCGGTAAATCATATTATTACCAGCATTATCAAATTGCTGTAACAGTATTTCTGGTCAAGGAATTCAATTAGCATTAATATAAAGAACCTAGGGATAAAACAACAACCATTATGTATGTTTAACAGCCACAATACACATTATATTTCAGTGTACAAAAATCCAACTATGCTGATACATTTCTTTAATCAAAGTAGTACTGACCTCCATCGTTAAGACGGTGGATTTCAATCTCCTTGAAGGAACCGTTCATAACAAGGAAGTATTGGTTAGGTCCAGACTTGGTGGCACTCACTTTGTACTTGTATCCATCATGGATCAGCTCTGCGTTGACAGTATGGTCCAGTGTGTTAGAACCTTGGATTTGGCCTCTGAAATAAAAAACATAAATTATTGTAAATTTAGGGAAATTAGTTTTAAATCTTCACTTGTTTGATTTTGTGACAAGATTAGACAAAATCGTTTTACGTCCATTTCAGTGAAATAAAGATTTTCGCATATAGAAACAATTGAAAGGAAAATTATATTTGATTTTTGAACAAGTGTGAATGGAGAAAGCTTATATTTGTTGCCCCCCAAATTTCAAAATTCAAATTCTAGTTTTGTGATTTTTCAAAGACATTCAAATAAAGACCAAGTTGCTTTCCAACTAAACTATCATTAGGTTGTATCCTTTGATATACTGTGTTTTCATATTTGTCTCAGTTATTAGTAATCAATCAATTTTCTTTATTGAGATTTCTTTAAGACATACAATAGTCATATACATAGATTGTAATTTCAATTTTCATCTTGCTTAACAATTTTGATCAAAGAATTCCTTTAGTGAGTAGAATGGTTGATCCATTAGCCAGTCTTTGAGTTTCCTCTTCAGGTCTTGATTTCTTAAGATCTTCAAGTGGTTGGGCAGACTATTGTAGGTAGGCTTCCTGCTGTATTGAGTTGTATGGTGAGCTGGGAGAAGGTAGTCTGTAGCTCTTTGAGTGTTGTGAAAGTGAGAATCTTTTCCTTTAGTAAGCTCATTCTGTTTTGCAAGGATGTATAGTGATATCACAGTCATGATTTTTAGTGATTTATAAGCTTCCCTGCAGCTTTCTGTAGGGCTGAGATCAGCTAGTGTTCTTATCGCTTTTTTCTGAAGTCGCAGTATTCTTGTAAGGTTCTAATCTGTGGTTCCACCCCAGACCACTAATCCATATCATATGTGGAACTCTACTAAGGCATAGTATGCAGTCTTAGTTGCTTCCTGTCCTCCTATCCATTTAATTCTACGCATTACATAAATTCCTGATCCTATTTTTTTGCACAGGCTATTCACATGTTCTGTCCAAGAGAGTTTAGCATCGACGGTCATGCCTATTAGTTTGGACTTTTCATTGACAGTGATATTTGAAGCTTCAGTTGACTGTAGCTGTCTTTTGCTGAAATTTATCTGCATAGTTTTTGTTGGATTTATAGCCAAGTCATTTTGAAGACAGTACATTGTTGCTTTATTGGTTAGTTCAGTGATCTCTGACTACAGTCCATGAGTTGTATCATTCTTAATAATCAATGTTGTATCATGATCGGTTTGGCATTCTCATTATTAATAAAGTCTATGAAGTCATTAGTGAAAAGTATAAATAGAAAAGGACCCAGAACCGAACCCTGAGGAACTCCCCTGGTGGTTGTTTTTGGGCTTGTTTTTTGAAGGAGTGTCTTGTTCCATTTAATGTTTTTTGTATTTCAACTATCTGTGCACAGTCTTCTAGAAATAGAAAGCTTGCTATCCAGTCAAGGGCTTTGCCTTTAATCCCTAGTAGGGATAGTTTGTTAAGTACTAGCTTGTGACCTAAGCAGTCAAATGCCTTACTGTAATCAAGCAGAATGGGTGAGACATGTTTGTAATCTTCAAGTTGGTTTGTAATGTGCTCTACAAAGCTTGCAATGGCAGTGATGGTTGACCTTCCTTTCAAGAAGCCATGTTAATTTTTTTTTAGTAGTTGTTGATTGTCTAAGTGTTGTGACATCCTTGTGAGTGCTATTTTTTCTATTATATTTGAGAATGTGGACAGGAGTGAAATAGGGTGATAGTTTTATAATTTTTGTGTTGAACAAAAAATGGAAGGTTAAGTGAGTAGGAGAACCTTTCGCGCCGTTTTGGCCAAACCTCGCACGTGGGGTTGGTTCGGCAGATTTACCACACATAAACTCCCACTCTCGTTTGTTAGGTGCGGAGAGCTACCTTCTGCCACTGGGTGTTGGTCCACCTACAGAACCAAGTGAGGAGGCCCTATACTAAGGTGCAATGTGATCTCAGGTAGTTTTGGTTTATTGTCATCTGGTATGTGCATTGTTTTTACACTATTAAGAGCATTAGTTGTGAGACAGGAAGCCTTATATACCCACGAAGCAAGCTGGTCAGTTGGGGTTGGGGTTATGTAAATAAAAGTTTCGTTGTGTCTGGATATAGCAACCAAGTCATTTATTTGTTCTTTGTTTTTTGACATTCTTACTACGGCTATATGTCGAGCTTGTTGTCCTTGGAATTTGTGTATGGTTGAGGCTTTGTTGCCAAGTTTTTGCAGGTCTCTTTTATCGGACTGTTTAAAGGTCAAAAGCTCATATTTTTGTTTGTCAACAGAAAAACTATTAAGGTCTTTGAAAACTGATAGGGTCATCTCATTTTCTATGTTGCTAGTAGTTTTAATTTTTTGTTGGTAGATGTTTGCCAGGAGTGCTGTTGTGGTTTTGGTGCATCTGCATGATATGTTGAGGGTATTAGAAATGTTTGCAATATTTTTGTTAACCTGTGGTATTTGGTTTCAAAAAATCCAGTTCTGCTAAAGTATGGTATTTGGTTAATATCGCCCACCAGTAGTGCTTCTTTTGCACCGGAGAGTACTGCTGCAAACAGTACTTTACCTGCATGCAGCATGAGGGCTTCATCTATGATTACTCTGTGATACATCTCTCCGTTTTTCAAGTGTCTGGTTGCATTGATGATGAATGAATGTGTAGTTTCAAACAAGTCAATTATATTACTCTTACTGCAGTTTGGGTGAAGTTTTGTAAAACGAGTTCTAAAATCCTGAACAGCATCTTTAGTTGGAAATAGGATCCGGTCCCCCTCTCTGTAGTTGTTCAAAATAAATGTTGTTTTTCCACACCCTGGGACACCTTGTACCACGTCTAGTTCAATCTCTGGCTGTTATCAAAGTCTAGTTTCTTTACAGCACTAAACAGTCTAAGGTCATTCATTAAAATTGTGTCACTTGAGACTAGCAGGGTGTTGTTGATTGGGCAGGTGTCTGGAGCAGCCTTATATTTTCCATTGTCTTCCTTACTAGCTCCACAAACTGTGAACCATCAAAGCCAAATTGGTGAGGTTTGTCAAGTTCTTGTTTTAGAAGAAACCTTCCAGTTATTAGGTCTATAACAGCATATTTACATTTATACTGGAAACAGGTGATCTTCTAGCTCACTGTTAGCTTCTTTCAGATCTTGAAGGTTATACTCCTTGTAGATGGTCCGGAACTGAATTAAAAGGTATACTTCTCTTGCTCTCCATAATTCTTTCTATTGATTCATTGCAGCTCTGATACTATAGCAGTTGGTATCCCTGCAGGGGGTTATCCTCTGTATTTTTCTCTGATGTTTAATAAGGCAGCTGTCTATTATTTTGTTTACAGCCTTCTTTGTTCTTCTCTCCTTTGTGTAGAGACGAATGCGATGCAGGTATGCATTACACCCAAACTGCAAGAGTATTTGGAGTAGCTCTGTGTGGCTGGATTCCTCAATTCCTATTGCAGGGAGAATAGATTCCATGTCTAATGATAGTAGCATTGGGAATTTAATGCAATCATTCACAAGTTCCATTAGTTTGAAAAGCTTTTTCTTCCAGTTTCTAGGATTGTAGAAGACTATGATGTATGGTTTTCCAGTATTTAAATTTTATAACCATAAAGTTGTTATATGATAGTTGCCCTGTAGCAAGTCAAATTTATATCAAAATCACTAGATGGTATGGGGAATTAAGTCAGCAATTCACATTTAATTTTTCGGAATTGTGTCCCTGCTTTGTGATGCATTTAGTGATAGGGCATGTAAGTTGTATTGATCTATACTATAATGTGTTTTTTTCCATTTTTTCTGTACATTTACGACCCATAACGAGTATACTTTCACAGCCTGCTGTTGTTTGTTGACACTATACTTGTAATTGTGCATTGTTTAAAGGTGTTGATGTTTCTGTTTGTTTAGGTTTAACTAGTTTACTACCAGATGGCACAAAGCCACTCATAAAGAGGAGTGTAACAGCTGATAGACAACATGTTAAAATCAAGTAAATCAAAACATACAGTTTTCAATTGTATACAAAAAGTAGATAAAAACTTTTTAGGCTTTGGACCGAAGGCTCAAAGAAATTTATTGTGGGCTTAGCAGTTCAATGAAAAAATCTCTCAACATTACAGCAAAATTATGAAACAGGTTTTTGCTACCTCTCCAGCGAGTTCTGGAAGTTCTGGAAATTTTCAACAACTCTTCTGTCTGCAATGTGCAAAGCTCCACAGATCACTCCTAACATTATGTCTGGCTTTTCTGCTTGCATCTTCTTGGCAATCAGTTTGTCCAACCAAGCAGTATCAATAGTGTTGTTCTGTAAAAGACAATGTTCACTGATATTTCTCAAACAATATTTTCTTACAAGAGGCAACAAAAAAAAAAAAAATCCCTGGAAAATTTGCTATTTGAAAAAATATTTATTTGGTAAAGGAGTACTGAATGTACCTCTTAGGTGCAGTGATCTTTAGTCTGTCATAAAGCAATAATTATATATTCTTCTGAGATTACAGCGTAGGCTTATTGGTTTTCTATTTCACACTCAGTTCTTTTATTTTTTCGTAAAAATTTTGTATGAACAACAGACAGCAATATTTTAAAAAGTGAAACGTTAACACAGGTATTTAAGATGTTACATACCTAAACAAATTGTAGTTTTAAATGTTGTGAATAGAACTAGTGGGCAATTTGAAAACTTTTTGTCCAAACTGTTATGATATTTCTAAGAACACCTTTAAAATATTGTTGACCAAAGATATTCTATCATAATCACTATCTCATGTAAGTAAAAACATGTTGTATTTAAATACAAATTTAATTTTACATATCTTTTGAAAAATAAGACAGTACAATCGAGTTGAAATATTCAATAAAAGTTAAAAAGATTCAAATCAAAATCCAGAATAATAGAAAAACATATTATTATAGGTAACTTAAGAAAATATTATGCAAGCTTCAAAAACAAACCTGGAAGGCGTCAGTTTCTAATAGAGTGATAAGGTATTCGACAGTTGTTCGGAAATCTCCTCTAATCGACAACTCCTTCAGTGCAATGACTAAGTTTCTGAAAATCGTAAATCACATAAAATAACTACAACATTAAATTTACAATTTTACATATCACAGATTAAAGTTTATGCTACGTATTAAATTACCAGCTTTCATTATAGTTAAATAATAAAAAAACCACAAATAAAATATACAGTAAAAGGTCAATTTTCAAGGTATAGTGAAAGTTGGTATTCTGATTTATTACAGGTTTTGTACTAGTATGGCTAGAAATTTTTTTACAAGTGCACTGCTACCAAATACGGTAGTAATTGGTATTTTTGTAACTGTTTTTTATCCAGAAGTTTATCTGAGCTTCTAAGGACAGGGACTAACACATGAATAAGCAAAGTAATCAAAAGTGTATCTTTATTAACTTTGCAACAACAACCAACATTTATATTTGAGTTGTTACAATGTTAATTTACAAGTTTACAACCCTCATCTCAGTTCCAAATTTAAATTAAATGAAAACTTCTTTGTTTTACCAGGCAAAGTTAGGGCCACATGGCCCTCTCTTACACTTGACCTGAACTTTATGGCTAGGACCAAGAATTTTAGTGTTATTATGATGACTTACTCTCTAGCCTGTTCTCTGTTTTCTCCCCATGAGAAACAGTGACCGAACTGGGAGTCAGCAAACTCGTGGAGACCTCCTGACGCAGCAACACTGAAGTAACCCCACACATTCTTGGAGGAACGGAAATTAAGTTCTTGGACAGTACCAGAACTAGGTTTGAATCCTGTTAAATGAGGTACATACAACTTTAATAACAGTCCAATGTCTTCAATGTATTTAAGCAGTAACCTAAAAATCAAGATGTTTAATATTTTGTATCTTGAAAATTAAAAAAAAATTTACATGGCCATAATTGGAATGTAATTGTAGATTCAAAAAAGATAGAAATATTATTTTGTATCAAAGGACCATCACTTACGAGATCCTTAGAAATACACGAAAGTTTGGAAGGCTATAGGCCTAATTGTATTTTTGGAAGACAAAATTAATACACTTAAAAACCACCTACTCAAGGAAAAGATATGATAGACTTGTCCAATTACTCTTTGGATGATTTGGCAGCCGTGTTATTTTAGTTTAAGTCTTAGTTAGTTAGTCTTAGTTTATGTAGTTTAGGTGATGTTATTCATGTAAAATATTGTAATTGTATATACGAGGGTTATTCCAAAAGTAAGGTCCTGTTGAGAAAAACAAATTAAAACTCAAAATTTTCCCCAAAACAATTGTTTTATTAACATTCCGTGCATATTTGTCTATTTTTCTACATAATTTCCATGCTTATTCAAACATTTGTCACATCGTTCAACAAGCTTTTAAATGCCTAAGTCGTAGAAATCGGCCGCCTGCGAAAATAACCAGTTTTTAGCTGCTTCTTTTACTTCATCATCTGTGTTGAAGCGATTGCCGCCAAGAAACTCCTTGAGGTAGCGGAACAAGTGGAAATCAAAGTGAGAAAATTGGAAAACAAGTGGAGATCTGAAATAGTGAATCGTCGATCTTCAAAAATATTTTGGTCAACCGCATTGACCAAATCTTTTGAAATCACTGATGGTCGGCCAGAGCGTGATTCATTAAAAGCTTGCACCCACTTGCACACTTTACTGTCACTCATTATATTAGGATAGGACCGTAAACTTCAGTAATCTGTCGATGAATTTCTGCCGCTGAAATGTTTCTTGCAGACAAAACTGCTTCGCTGTCTTTACTTTACAATCGGCGGGCCGATCAATTGTCTTAAAAATTGTGATCTGACACTATAAACAGCACACAGTAACAATAACAACGCTCATGGCGGCGCTTGACACGCAAGACATGCCAGGAGTCGGGGCGTTTGCGTGTTTTATCGTTGGCGCCCACTTCAAATAGTTGCAGCAAATCGGACCTTACTTTTGTAATAACCCTCGTACATAATGAATTAAGATTCCTGACTATGATTATGACTGTAATACTGTAGTCAAATACCATTTATTCATAGGAAATCATTTTCTCAAAATAAAATAAAACAAATAAAATATTTGTGCAAACATTTTAAAGTTTGCACACAACACTTCTAAATTCAAATTGCTAAATTATTGAATTTGTGTATTGTATGTTCAAATTATAGTAGTGTTAGTTAATGCTAAGTGACATTGCCATAGATACAAATGTGTATATTATGGAAAGAAAGACTTTGACTTTAGTAAATAAAATTACTCGAATTGTTATCAAACAAGGGGAATATGAAACCTCTAGGTACAGCGGTACAGAGGGTAACGTTACCTTCGTCAGGGTTTTCACTGGTGATACGAGCAGCAATGACGTGACCCCAAGGAGATGGTTTGTGCGTCGGATTTTCAAAGTCTATGAGGCTGTCTCCCCAAGGTGATTCACCATAGTACATTCTAATATCTTTAATTTTGTGCAGGGGTAAGCCCATAGCGACCTACGGAACAAAAGCATTATTGATTGGTTTGACTGGAAAAAATAAATGATTAGTATTTACTGATATATGGAATGGTGTAGTAGTCTTAATAATGTCTAAAATATGAAAATATGCAAAAATACATTTTTGTCTTTTATAGGGACTTTGCCAAAAATATCTCTAAAACATAAAAATTAGGAAATTGTGTAGTTTAACCAATGTATGCGTGTGTGCTTGTGCCATTGAACATTCTATATCATGTCAATTATCAGTTACAATGATAACAAATAAAAAATACCATAATAAGAAATAAACTACTTTGTGCGAAGTAGAAAATTTTTCCACAACATGTTTTTATTCGTTGGTTCGTAAGTCAAAATATACTTTTCAGTAAGGCCCCGGCCACACGAGGCGAATTTAAGCCGCGCGGCTTATCTTCGCGCGAAGTTAAGCCGCGCGAAGTGCCTGGCCACACGGGGCGGATGAACCGCTTCCTGTTGGGTTTTTCCAGTATCAGTACTCTATTAAATAGTTCAGTCCACTCTTTTTAGTCATGGACAAAACACTTATGTTAGTTTGTGCATTAGTAGCTTGTGGTGATCTGGAACCAAATGTTAACATAAATCATTTGGTCCATCCCTTCATAACGGAAAACCATTTTTTGTGTTCCAAACCTTTTACGTGCACATGCGAAACCATAGTTCGGAGTTTGTATGTATCAAACATTGTTTGAACAACACACAACCGGTAAAAAACAATCAAAACAAACTTATAAAACCATTGGAAATGTCCGAAGAATATTTCCGATAAGCGCGGCTACCGCGCGGTCGAACCGTATCGTGTGGCCACTCTTATAAGACTACGTGTGTCATCCCCTCCAACGCGGCTAAACTTCGCGCGGTCGGGGGACGACATGTCGCGGCTCAACCGCACATGCGGCTAAACTTCGCCTCGTGTGGCCACTCTCATTTGATTCAATGTGTTGTCGATCCCCTTAACTTTGCGCGGCTTAACTTCGCGCGGTTAAACCGCCTCGTGTGGCCGGGGCCTAAGCCACAATCTGACTTCAACCCGAATTGAAAAGGTGTCACTTAGACATTAAAATGATTGATGTAAAAGATTGAAGAAAACAAACTGACAAAAGATTACCTAATATTTTTAATTTCTACACTTTCTTCTATATTATTAATATGACCGCTATACTACATCAAAGTCTTAGTATAATCCTTGGTACTATGTTGTTAACCTTTGGCAATGTTTAGGCAAGAAGTAAAACTTACTTGAAGTTGTGAGGCAGGTAAGTTGACATCAGAAACCATTTCTGTACAAGGATGCTCTACTTGCAGCCTAGGATTCAACTCTAGGAAATAGAAGTCTTCTTCGGCAGTGTCATAGAGGTATTCTACGGTTCCTGCGCTGACATATCCTACCATTTTGGCCAACCTTACTGCAGCCTGAAACCCACATTTAGCTTAGTCTAACAAGAACAAGCTGGTTACTTCCACACACATACTGTCTAACAATGGCAAACAGTAAGGTATTATGATACCATAAAATTAAAATTATTATATGTCTTTTTAGGAGGAAGACTCATTCATTATACAAATACATAATTCCTTGACCAAGTATACCAATGGGTTCTCTACTCTACTAGTACTATTAGGCATAAGCCTACTTGTCAATTTATTTCTCAAATAAATTTGGAGAAAACTAATTAAATTAAATACATACTTATTTGTATTACTGGTGAGAAAAGTGGCAATTTTTAAACGGGAGAACACTGTTTTTTACTTAGTTTAAAAATACAGTTGCATTACATTTTGTCTACAGTTGTTATTTTGTACCAGATAAAAATCTTAAGAACTTTATTGTTTGTTTACAACACAAACAGTTCATATTGATATTTGTACTTTCCCTAAATCGTTGAGGAAGTGAATATAATACAAAATATTAAGCTTTTCCCACTATTTCCAGTGGAACATTAGAAATTTTATCATCTTCTGATCTATCCAAAGTGTCCATTCCTTCCAAATATAAGTAAAAATCACACAACATATGGATTATTATGTGCTTAAGGCAACAACGCCTTTGACAACTTAAAAACTCAAAAAATTATTCTCTGTTAACTTGCTGTTTATTATGTTCATAAATAATTATTTCATTTTAGACCTAAAATGCTGTTTTTGTTGTATATTTGTAATATTTTAAATTTAAACCTAAGTATTAGTGTAACGTATGTACGAGTCATTTCCTAGGGATTAAATAAAGTTAGTCTACATTTTATTTTGTTCAGTTGTCATTTGGAGTGAGCAAAGTAGTTAACAAGGTAGTGGGTGAAGTAATGGCCATGTAGTGAAATGTCGGGAAATCAGCTGTTTTGCAAACTAATTCAAATTAACAAAATACCACTTTGTACGACAACTTTTGAACTGTAGACAGCAAAAATCAAAACTAGTAACTACTGATGAGGTATTTATCAATCCATGTTAGTACATGTAGGCCCTACATAGATAAAATTTAGGCTGACCTGTACATTGAATGAAAAAATCATTTCTAAAATTTCTTACCCTTTCCATCTCTTCAAAGACATCAGGTTTGGCAATAGCTGCAGGAGCCTCTTCAATGATCTTCTGGTGACGTCTCTGAATGGAACAGTCACGGCCGAACAATGAAATAGCATTTCCATATTGATCAGCTAACAGCTGGACTTCCAAATGCCGAGCACAGCTGGCAAGCTTCATAATGAAAATGGGAGAGCCAGGAACTTCTGATTGCACCTGTTATCAAACAAACACAGCCGTTATTGGTTATCAAGCAACTGTAGAGACCAACTGTGCTGAAGGACTCTTCCTCACACACATAAATTAGACTCACAAGGAATAATTTTTCTACATACTAATTTGTAGAACATACTAAAACGTGTATATGTATTTATTTAAATAAATATCTTGTAATACAAATTTGTATGCGTTCAATTGGGGAATGTAATTTACTACCTTTACCATACTAAATTTAAACATTATAATGTCAAAATAGGTAGATTTGTTGAAGAAAATGTATTGGAGAAAACATGGTTACAGAACTGATTGACAAACAATCATCATCAATTTCACTAAGTAGCACTGCGGTAATCAGGCATGCGTCATGCACGTTTCCTGTTTCTATCGTTCGCAAGTAGCGCTAACTCCAAATAGCAAAGAAATAAAGTAAGCAGTTTGTAGTAATGGAGTAGTTCATAGCTATTGAAGTTACGAAGGTTGTAAATAACCTGGTTTTGTTGAACTTAGGGAAGAATTGGAAGCAACATGGCTTTCGAAAAGGAAAATCCACAGTAACAGCAGGTATAGAATTTATAGAGTCTATTATAAATGCAATTGATAAAGGGAACAAGGTTGTACGAATACAACATCTTTTTAGTGACAATTTGAATAAATTTAAAAGAATACTAAAAGTCTTTTTAATCAAATTTCCATTTTATTCCATAGAAAACTACAAAAAAACAAAAAAAATATATAGTAGCTTGCATATTTTGAATTCCATAGAAAAATTAGGGGAACAATTTAAATTTTCACCATGATAAGTGATACTTGTTTTTTTTTATTTATTTAAGTCCGGAAAATGGATGCATGTTTTTTTTAATTTTATTAACTGCTCATGTTATTGTGATTGCAATAATGTTATATATTTTTTTTTAATATTCAGTTAGAGATTCTTCACTTTTTAAAGATTATTTTGTAGACAAATTTTATTCCATAGAAAACTACAAAAAAAACAAAAAAAATATATAGTAGCTTGCATATTTTGAATTCCATAGAAAAATTAGGGGAACAATTTAAATTTTCACCATGATAAGTGATACTTGTTTTTTTTTATTTATTTAAGTCCGGAAAATGGATGCATGTTTTTTTTTATTTTATTAACTGCTCATGTTATTGTGATTGCAATAATGTTATATATTTTTTTTTAATATTCAGTTAGAGATTCTTCACTTTTTAAAGATTATTTTGTAGACAATAAATCTTGTAGTATATTTTAAGCACTTTGTAATATGAAGTAGGTAATATTTACATATATATATATGTATTTATAGCCTATTTAACTCTATTCAATACATGTCATTTTATGTATAACGAATAAAGAATGATTTGATTGGATTTGAATTCTTCTGGAGAACAGATTTGACGAGAACATTGGACTGCCACCAGGTGGCGAGATTGTGGGACTTTACCGTATAAGACTAATTATAATAACCATCATGATTTTAATAAATACCTGTCTGAAGAGATTGTCGAAACCCTCTGGACCGTCGACTTTACGGATACCTTTGCCACCACCTCCCTCACTAGCCTTGATCATTACAGGGAAGCCGATCTTCTGGGCAGAAACCAACCCCTCCTCCCACGTTGTAACACAACCTTTCTTGTACAGTTCTGAACTAATCTTAATCTTCTTGTTGGCATACACAGCTTTCAGTTCTGTAAGAAACATATATTTATTTAATCTTCTTCTTGGCATACACAGCTATCAGTTCTGTAAGAAACATATTAATTTAATCTTATTGTTGGCATACACATCTATCAGTTCTGTACGAAACATATTAATTTAATCTTCTTGTTGGCATACACAGCTATCAGTTCTGTAAGAAACATATTTAAGTATATAACTGATGATTACAGATACAATGATTTTACCCTTTGATTCCCATAGATTTTACAATGATTTAACTAACAGTGTCATTTTTATTATGTTTTTACTTTGTATTTGTACACAAAAATTCAAATTCAAACAGATCAAGTTTTTGCTCGAGACACAGAGTACGGCTGGTAACAAAATACCTCGTCAGAGGTCAAACTCTCAAAGAATCCATACAAGCGGTAAACATTCATCTGAGCCATCCACCGTTTATTTTAACTAACTTCTACCAACAACTTAGCAGCTGATTGGTGAACTGATGAGTTGCACCCAGACCTGACCCACCTTAGACAGCTCGGATATTGATCAGTAATGACGGAAAACCTTGCTAAGGATTCTGGTAAACCCAAAGCTTATGTGTAGTAGTTTTAACTCTTTACAGCGATTTTATGAGACCCTCTAGTCATGACGCAGCCCAGTAGGTGGTGGAATCTAACGGCAAATCTCAGAACTATTTCAAACTAGGACTGTATACAGCACGAGCACATTGTCTATTACTGTAGTTGCTTACTTTTACAGTGGCTGCCGGTCGTAGTGAGTGTGACAGAGACAATGTATTGTTTTAAAATGTAAAACCTATAAACATTGATGCTATGGAAGTTTATGAACCCTACCGGTACAGGCACTAGGTCTACAAAAAAATAACCATAACAGTCACGAAACTAAGCCTTTGTAAAATTTTTTTTCAACAAGCCTGCACCTTAAATTAAGTTAAGTTATGACCTCAAATGAATATTTGCCTATTTTTTTAAAAGTTTTGTTCAAAATGTACTTTCCATAAATATTTTTTTTTTCTAAATTGTCCTTAATACTGGAGCCTAAAATTAACTTAATGCAGGCTATAGGTACAAAATCACTTGAAATTACTCCCTTCTAAATATTTAGCTAGAACTTAACGGGCAGTTAACATAGTTTAACAAATTTCCAGAGCCACTTTTCTTTCCATGATTAGTAGCCTATGTTAAATTTATTGGTTTAGCAGTGAATCATTTCAACATATAGGCTATATATTTAACACTTCTGGTATGGTATTCTTTTGATTTGAATGTTTTTGGTTGGCTCTTAAAGTGTTTTTGTACAAATAGGCCTAAGTTTTATTTTCTTAATCCCTTAATATAACAAACCTTCACTAATGAAAAAAAGTGTTTTAAAAATTGAAATATATTTTGAAAAGATATTTTGATTTTAAAATAAAACAATTAAATAGCCTAATTTAAAATGAGGTACCGATGGTCACCAGAACCGAGAACCGAGAATCAATTTTGGTTAGGAACCGGTATCGACATTGAAAACGTGGTACCGACCCATCCCTAGTTTTTATGGATTGTGCCTTTTAACCGACCTTTTGAGTTACCCAGCCTAGGTCCGGTCCCATTAGGGTCGGTTCGATGGGTTTGGCTCGGCTCTTAGGTAACAACATTGTTAGGTACAGCTTCTGTATAGCGGTTGGTTTAAAGTACACCAGGAGAATTATTCAATTCTTGTTACTAACCTGAGCCAGACCATGGCAGACAGGGAACTTCAGCAGTTTGAGCCACGATACTTGAAGCGATTTTGTCTCCCAAGGCCCACATAGCCTTTTCTGGAGGCCCGATGAATGCTATGTTATTCTTGTGTAGCAATTCTGGGAGTTTTGGATTTTCTGAAGCGTGGCCCCAACCAGCCCACACTCCCTGTGAAAAAGCATATTTAATTAATAATGGAAAAGTAATATTTTAAATAGGCTAATCAAAAGAGACAGTACAAGTCGATAGCACTGATCTGTTATTGTATCTGGGTTTACAGGACTGACTAGCATAACAGATTTTTTAAGATCTCAAACTGTATCAACTTTCCATGGGAAACTTTGTTTCAGTCCGTTTTGACCCATGTTATCATAAGGAGCTTAAGCTACATTGGAGAGTTTTGTACGCTGCAATTGAATTTAATGAATTTGAAACCACACACAAACAAACACTTGTCCCACCAACAACCAGACACGCACTCCGACTGAGATTGTCATGTCAAGTTCTGACTCTGCCATTGACTTTGCCATTAGGACGCAAGTGTAACTTTACTTACATTCATTTTAATTTCAATAAAACAGAACCGACACTAGATCTTAATTTTTATCAAACAAAAACAAAGTAAAAATATTATAGAGATCTTAGAGCAGTATGTATTGTACTGAATGGCCCAATATTTAAAACAATGGTTCGAAAATTATAAACAATTAACAAGAAAAGTCATACCTGTACTTGTGTGCGCACAGCAATGTCGACAATGAGCTCAACATTGGCGTAGTTGTTATTGTTTGTTCCTCCAGGTACTGGGACGTAGTGGTCAGCCATCTTGATGTACTCAGCATTAGCTGAACGACGATTAAGAGGAAATAAATACAGTTGTAACTTTAAAGACACAATAATTACAGTGAGTAACTAGAAATACTTTGGAGCAAGTGATTCTTCAAATGCAAGAGAAAAAGTTGATGGAATCAAAATGTTATATTCACATTTTGGTCTTGCTCGGTTTTATGAATCAATGTGTTTGAATAGGGAAATTTTCAGTAGAAGAAACATATTGTTGTTGTTACGGCTTGACATCAATATGAACATCATAATTTTGAAATTCTTAAGGTAAACAGGGGAGAAATAATAAATGTGATATCTTCTTCCATAGATTAGATACGTATTTAAGAGAATTAAATGCTCGTCAGGATAATTAGATATCATATCATTTAGGTAGGTCTGTACAGTTTGACTTTCTCCATTGAAACAAAGAACTTGCAAATTTATATCAAACAGTTTACTTTATAGTACTCTATGATTGAGTCTGTTTAGGTAAATAATTTGTTTACGCTTTTGTTTCAAATTACTTAGGTCTATTATTAAATAATAATTACCTTTAAGATCTTCTGGGGTGACCATGACAACAAATCGAATGGCCCTCTCATTCCTGAACATCTCATAAGACCATCTTCTGATAGATCGCATACACTTGACAGCAGCAATTCCATTGTTGGCGATCAAAACCTAAGATAAATCATCAGGGTAAGTCATTGTATTGAATTGTATGAAAACTAACTTACAGTCTCGAGTATAATAACTCAATAATCTAATTTGAAGGCAAACAACTAACTACCAAGTGAACTAAGTGAGTAGGACTTATAGGTGAATATAAGATCGCATAATAGAAGTGACAACATAGCTATCTCATGTAGGTTTTTGTTCACTGAACTTAGCATAATAGCCTTCTAGGGAGTTTGTTTTCTCTCTCCGACTTACTAAACAAATCTTGATAACATTGAAATTTGAGACCAAGAGCATTACATTAAAACCAGGTGATTGCTCTCAGAATGTTGAACTTAGCATTAGCATTAGCAATTGAGATGGGGACGAAACCTCGGTGCTTATTTTAACCCAAGTATGAGTGAAGGATAAGTATAGAATGGTGTGAGATTATCTGTGTAGCTTTGTTAGGCTACAGCCACATAGGCGTTTTTTCACACGCAAACGCAGCGTGAAAATCCGGGAGAAATATGAGCAGCAGCACTATATGTAATGGGGTATGTAAGATGCCACAGGCAGTGTGTTTTCCCCCAGCAGCGGGCGTGTCTATGAAAGCTTGAAGTTTGTTTTCACGCTCAGTTCCTGGCCACACGATACGGGCGGGAGTCAACAGGTGGTCCTGTCTTAATTGTTCGTAAATCGAGATAAATGTAATTTCTTTTGAAAAGCGTAAAATATTTTATGGTCCAGCCAACTACTATAGGTACAGGTTTTGTCCCAGAAATTTCTACCTTACTGGAACCACTTAATAGTTTTTCATGACAAGGAAAGAAATTTACTTGAACTAAGAAAATGTGAAGAAGCATTTATGGAATTAAAAGGAAACCCATGCGGAGCTGCATAGTAAAGAAACCTAACATTGATGAAAACTTGGAGCTTTGATTAGAGCAATTAATTGTAGTAATATTCTTAGAGTTGATCGAAAACTTGTTGGAAATTTTATTTTAAGAGTCCTTGGAGCCTAGACGTTTTAACGGATATTTAAATTACAATCACTTTGGCAAGATGTAGATTTATTTTATATTTTATTTAACGCACTATGTTACATGTAAATAGCTACATAAAAGGTCATCAAAATAAAAGTAAACTTAAAAATTGTTTTAATATTAAAATTTGGTAAAATCATTGATGTTTCTTCTTCACTAAGCCTATTCAAAAACCTGCCATTAGGAAGAAATTCAACATAAAATCGTGTGAATTCAGCATTCAACTGTGGGTTCCCACTTCGTTTTACCGCTCATGGATTTCAACCGGCACAAAAATAAGCTACGTTTTACCGCATGAAAAAACCTGTGTGGCTATAGCCTTACTGATAAGATCAGCTTTTTCAACAATCTTGATGATTTAATAAAAGACCATTGATCAAGGACAGCTGTGTCCAGTTTCAAACCATCAAAAAACTTTTTCCAAAGAAAAAAAAATTTTTTCCATAACTTTGTGCTTTATAATAAAATAGATTCGTATTTTTACAAAATGGTCACTTATCCCGGGTCTAGGTCTTATGAGACCTACGGTAATAGCTTATTCTCTATATGGGAAATTCTCCAAAAGGAGATAAAATTGATATTTTAAAGACGTTATAAGAGTAAAATCACGTTCAAACGTACCTTGTTGATAACTTTAGTTCCCTTAAATCTTCTTACAAACTCTTCAGGAGTGGCTACAGTGAAGTCTTTGTCCAACTGGCGAGCATGGATCACTGTCCCTTGGGACATACTCGGCCTGAAATTAACAAAATACTATCAACTATTTTACTTTAGAAATTTATATACCTAACAACTAATACATATGTGCTGCTCTGCTAGTAGGCTATGACAGTTCTGGAGAAGGAAAGAGGGACCTTTTCCGTTTATTTTTACCAATATGTTTTTAAGGTTTAAATAATTTTAGAATTATCTACAAATATGTTCAGAGTAAGGTAAAACCAAGACATAACCTAAAATTTCAATTGTGTAAATTGTTACACATAGTGGTTAATGAATTAATGGAAAAGGTCCGGAAAAAGTAACAATGACTGACAGGATCCAGGACAGGTACGGTACCTAAATGATCTCTTGTGGTTTCTTCTAAAATCCTATTACTCAAACCAACTCTTAAAATCTTTGATATGCAAATGAAATAAAAATATTTACCATGTTACATGTTTGGCTTATTTATATCAGTAAGGCCAAAATAGTAGATAAGATTGTCAGATAAAACTTGTTCAACAACATGATTGCCTACTCTTCTTTGCTAGGAGGAAATGAGTTTAAACTAGTAATTCATAAAACAAGAGTAAAATTAATTTTATACTATTAAAGAAGTATAATTCTTTTTTAATAAAACTCATAACATTATGAGCTACCTCATAATTGTTCTACCTCATGGTATTTAGCTTCCTACTGAATATATCTTAAAATGTATATGAAAAATGCATCTGTGACAGTTAGAATACAAATAATTAGAGATATATAGGCTAATATATGATCAAAATGAATACAATTTAAATTTTATATTTAAATTTATAGATTATCATAAACCTACAAAAATGTTTATTACAAATTGTAATATTTATTGGTTTGAATATTAGCCTACTTGACAAATTAAATATCCCCTAGCCTAATAAAGAGTAAAGATTGATTTTTAAAATGTTAAGCCATTTTATAAAATACATAAATGATGTTATTAACTAACATTTTTTTAATTAGAACAGTACCGTACAGAGTTAACTGTCATGATGTGAATTGCTTCATTAGAGTTAGTAACAATAAATTAAGACAAAACAAGTCATTAGAGGAGCTTCACTTTTTAGGATTGATGAGGCTGATCTTAAAATACAATCAATATTACATACCCGTCTAGAGGATTCGTACTCATCTTGCTACAGGATCACTGAGAACTTAGGAAGATGAAGGTAAAATTATATTGGCAATCGATTTCTGGAAGGAAACAAGGATAGGTTAAAGGCAGGATGGACTGCAAAGGAGGAATTACTTACAAAGTAGTAAACTATGTTGTCTATAATAAGTTGTTAGGATCCTAATAGTACTGTCGTCGATCATTTTTAAGATCGACCAAAGAATACACTAAGGGAATATCGATGTTAAACATTTCAATAAGGCACATCAATTATTTCCTTTGTAATACATAATGCCATTCCCAAATCAATAATAGTGCAAGTAGTGAGAATAAGCAAACGGTTAAGAACACACAATCGTGGACCCTACAGATTTTCCACAAGATCCTTTGCAGTATTTGACTGATCTTTGAGGGTAATTATGTGAGTAACGCAAAAGCATTAAGCTCAAGCCCTTGGCTGTTAGCCTGATTAAATCATAGCAACAATCCCTGGCCAATGTATAGGGCAGATGGCTTGACTACACTCTACAAACATTCAGAAAAAGCACCAACACTAACAAAATTCTTTGAGTATTAATGAAATGAAACAATGAACCAGATACTTTTTATTTAGATTCACTGGAGTAAGTAGCCAAAGTCCAAGACTGGGTCAAGGTTCAAAAGGCTCTGGCCTGGATGAACCACCCAGGTATGAGGACGTCCAAATTACTAATCGACCCTACTGATAAAGGTTGGAAAGACTTGCTGAGCCTTAAGAAAGGGGACATTAGTCTACTAGTAGGAGTGTTAACAGGGCACGGTCCTATCAGGAAACATCTCAGGACCATAGGGAGGTCACAGACAGACCTCTGCAGGTTCTGTGAGAACGAGGTAGAAACCTCAGAACACTTATGGCTGGACTGTCCAGCGTTGGCCCATAGACCAATGTATAGGTTACATCTCTGGGGAGGTTATTCCTGGAACCAACAGAGATAAGGAAGCTGGGTGTCTTTCAGCTCCTGGGCAACTTGAGGAGCCTAGGGCTGTCAGAATGAATTAAAGGGTGCTACAAAAGGTCTCCAGGCCGAAGTAGCTAGGGGTATGCCACTACCCCAGCCCCCACAAAAAAAAAAAAAAAAAAAAAAAATGTATTACCTAAACACATAGATTAACTATTGTGTAGCTATCTAGTAGTAGGTAGTTGTTAGGTAGGTGTTGTTTTGTTTTGTACTTACAAAATTCTTACAACTCAACGTTGAAAAATTTATTATTCGCCAAGTCACATAGAAATAGCCTAATGGAATATGTCGTGCTGCTCTTAAATACGGTACTTGAATATACTGAACATGTTGATTCTAGCAGTCAATTGGCGTTTTGGTTGAACAACCTATACGGATTGCTAGCGACCAAAGTTCTAACTAGAAGTCATTTATATAACTAAATTGGTAAACCCAAACTAGTATTCAAGTGTTTTCCCAAATGTATGGGTCTAACTACCTCCTAAAATAATCAGACAGACTAAACAGCCGAAGCGAGTAACTTAAACAGCTTGCTGTTATGAGAATCAATAACTCAAGGTCTAAGTCTAAAATGGGCATTCTTAACCTAGCCTAATCCAATTTTTAAGTTGGGAAAATTGAGGACACACCTTCAAAAACCTTTTCCCAACAAAACACTGAAATTTAGCATAATTTGTTAAGTTTCCAATTAAAAAAATAAATACGATCATTATTGGGTTTGGTTATGATAAGTCAGTTTAAACGTTGGCAATTACAAATAGCCTAATGTTTAGCAGTGAAGTCTGGTGGGGGGGGGGAATGGTGTAGGCCCTATATAAATGTTCTGGCAATCACTGGCACAATAAGTAAGCCTACTGTTTAACAAGCAGAAAGTCTATTTATGACCACTCTTACTTAATGACCAATAAAGTACAGAATAGTACAATAACAATTCCAAAATGGAATAATAAAAATTGACTAACTTCAACAATAGACGTTACAATAGGCCTATAATAATTTTTAACTAGACACAACTGAAGTTTGGCTACCTAGCCCTTGAACGTCCTTTTTCAATGTAATGTGCATATTTGGTATCTCATCAACTATAACAATCTGCGTTTTTATACTAGGATAACATACAGTTTTTTACATCCGCATTATATCTGTTTTGATGTCTGTATGGCAGGAGTGTTCCACAATTATAACCGTTTTCTGATGCTAGGTATTCACTAATAAATATTCACTCTTAGTACAAATAATATACCATAAGTTTTTGTAGTTTCCAAGGTTCACATTGGTAGATTGTCGCCATCTTAATACGAACCGTTGTCCAAGCTAGTAAACAGTTAGGCCTATAGGCCTACGCAGTTCTTTGAAAAGAATTAACTTAACCTAATATCGAAAAAATAAGTTGATAAAATAATAAATGATTTTTTTCAATTTGGCAGATTGTGTGTAGATAAATACAGGGTGAGTTTTTAATGAGTTCCCCCCCCCCTACTTTTTTCTACATTTCTTAAAATATTAACCAAGGACCACATCAGATCATTGTTGAGTAGTAAGTACTCCATTTTGACTGGGTATACATTTTTGGCCGCCATCTTGGATACAAAACAGTTTTTTTCAAATGTAAAGGTAGGGTTGTGACCCATTATTTCAACTAGAATTTTACGCTGATTACAATGCAGAAATTAGTTTTTAAAAATCTTTATCCGTTCTAAAGTTATAAGGACTTTTTATAACTTTATTTTTAGCCCATTTTAACATTGTGCATTTACAAACTAAGACCATAATCTCAAAATAGTGCGAGATAAAGATAAGTATACACCACCATTCATTGTTGACCTATTTTCACTTGATTATGACGGATGTATTTTTTTTTTGCCGCCATCTTGGATCTGCCATTTTGAAATCTGATAAATTAATTTAAATATGAAAAGTGGTGTTTAGACCCATCATTTTGAACTATTTTTTTATGCTGAACTCAATGCTGCAATCCGTTTTTGGTTATCAAGCATTCTTGATGAAATATTAAAATTATCTTATTCAAAAACTTCAATATTTCAAAAACCAAATATAGAAAATGAAAAACGGATTGCGGCATTGTGTTCAGCATAAAAAAGTACGGTAGCTCAAAATGATGGGTCACAACATCACCTTCATATTTAAATTAATTTGTCACATTTCAAAATGGCGGATCCAAGATGGCGGTCGAAAAAATACATCCGTCATAACCAAGTGAAAATAGGTCGACAATAAATGGTGGTGTATACTTATCTTTATCTAATACTATTTTGAGATTATGGTCTTAGTTTGTAAAAATGCACAATGTTAAAATGGGCTCAAAATAAATGTATAAAAAGTCCTCATAATTTTAGAACGGATAAAGATTTTTAAAAACTAATTGCGACATTGTAATCAGCGTAAAATTCTAGTTTGAAATAATGGGTCACAACCCTACCTTTACATTTAAAAAAAAACTTTGTAGGTATCCAATATGGCGGATCCAAGATGGCGGCCATAAATGTATACCTACCCAGTCAAAATCAAGTAGGTACTTACTACTCTACAGTGATCTGACGTGGTCCGGGGTTGATATCTTAAGAAATGTAGAAAACAGTAGGGGGGGGAACTCTTTTAAAACTCACCCTGTAGCCTCCTACACTAAACATTTAGATTAGTGTACGACTACACACCCGACGATAGAGTAACTTAACCTCCGAAACGGCTATAAGGCTAATGCAATAACAAATCTGGATTACGAAGACAGTACTTATATACGTTTGTAAAAAATTTAAGGCCAAAACATCAAATACCTCTACTTAACCCTTCCGATGCAAATTTTTTTTTTAGTAAATTTTCCGAAAAATGCTAGAGGTAGGCCTATTTACTTATTTAGTCTAAAAA